TCTGACTAGAATCCCGAAAATTTCCTCTCGAAGTTAGACGCTAGTAAGCACAATAGTTGCTGTGGTGGTTGTTGAATCTCATTACAAATGCTGTACAACACTCATGTGATGCATATGATTTGACAGTGAAATCAATTATCTCATATTGTCATTTAGTATGGTCAACTTAAAATGTGGATTCATTTGTCAAACTGATAATTAGTCAAGTAAATTGTTTCCGGAATTATAATACTAGTGTTAATTCTAAGCTTCCCAGCGGAGATTGATTTACCGATTTCATTCATCAAACCCACAATCCCATACTTGTATTCTTTCGACTGAATATCTCATGTGATTCGTGTTACTGTCGTTTAACAATATTCAACTACTCAACCACGAATGATGTTCAATTATGTGAAGGGATTTAAATAACTTGCTGTTATTCGTAAATAATCGTTTGATCAGGTGATGGGTGTTTTGCTTCTAAGCCAAAATAATCATTGTTTTGAGATAAAATTAGGTGGATTTGATAAAATGTCACTTGAAGAACCAATGAATTTAAGCAGCTAATATTCCCACGTCCTTTGGATTCACTTTTACTGTATTATTACATGTATTAATATTCATATGGTACACATCCTGCATAGCCCTTGAAAAATTCTAGAAGACTAGAACTCGATTCACCTTACAACTAAATATATCAGATAACTCTGCAGAATAGTCCACTGATATTTTCGTCTTCAAAGTAACAATACAATGTGTCTGTATTTTAATATGATTTGTAACAGAACATTGTTCACAGCCACTTTGTTTTACACAATTCGAAGCACATCAATCTTATCTTCTGCAAAATGTTCTTTGTTCGTAGTAGACACGTGCTGCTTCTCATTTCTTTGTTTATCAATTCACTCATCATAATCCTTAATTGTCTTACGCTTTAACTGTCTCAATGTTTCATATGTTATCGTCCTTACATCTTCATAAAATCAACCCACAATGACCACTTTTTATTTCAATAAAAGCAATTTAAGCTACGTTTTTTGTGTAGGAAGTGTGAATTTACTGGGTTACTCGGCTACATTCACCAATGAATATGAGAATACATTTAGTCCAAGAAAATAAATAGATTCAATGTGGTGACCACTTGGACGCAAACCAATCAGTTGTTTGTCGTGTTATTTCGGTATTTTGTTAAGCACTGAAGTTCAGTGGACGCAAAAAATAGAAATATGTAATACAATCAGGCTTCTGAAATAATTTGACGTCATTAGTGATATATCAACTTTAAAAAATAACATTGTGTAACGAAAGAAATTCAATATAATGATGCTTCGAAAATCACTACTTTGTTTTTGGTAAATACGAAGACAACTTCCAGGGAATTCATACATATCTTAGGATCGATTCTCGTTCAAGTGAATATATTCAGTGTTAAATTAAATTTCCTAATTACAACTAAATAACTTCTCAATCAATAGTTGCCCGATTAATTTATGTCCTTAAATTATGTCACAACGTAATAAACAAATGAACGATCGGTTACATTAAAAGGAAGCGATAGTTACAAATGTGACTAAAATTTTCTTTATTTCTCAATTTGTTGTTTTTAAAGATTATTGACTATTCCCCTTTTGTAATATCCCAATGAGTAGAAAAATTAAATTTTCTGACGTTTCGTGACTCAGTGTAAGCCACTTCTTCAGAGAATAAATAACCAAATTAACAATAATCCAAGAAACTTGAACTAATGTTAATTTGGTTATTTATTCTCTGAAGAAGTGGCTTATACTGAGTCACGAAACGTCAGAAAATCTAATTTTTCTAGTCATTGGGATATTACAAATATATTAATTTATTTATAACAATCTACCCAATACTCAGTTCATTCAAAATTATCAAATCAAAACTTGGTAATGATACCTATATTCCCCTTTTGTTATTTCTATCAACTTTTGTATGAAACCTAATAGAATGTTTTATGAGTTTGACTATAGAATAAATAGTTAGTTATATTGATAACGAAATTCCTAACGTGACGAAAACTATTATTGTTTATGTAACTAGATCGCTTAACAAATTATAACAGATCATGAATAACAAGGTTCACAAAGTAAAATCAATTCATTCTATTACACAGTTACAGAGAGACTAAGATTAAGAATAATATGATTACAAACAATTGTTTGACATAAGGTAATGATATATTAGATAACTAATAGGCAGTAGATAAATTGAAAATATCCTTGTAGCATTCAAAAGAATAATTAGCGCCAATATCATACTATTTTGTAGAGTTAGCTGTTACAGCCGAACTTATTTATGAAATAGGAAAGACTCCAATGATTTTCTTTGTCAGTTACAATGATTGTGATTGAATAATTATTATTTCAAACATAATCTGGTTGATACTTTTGTATTAATTTGATCTTGGTCCGAATTATTCCGATTTATTGTGTGATCATTTATTATTTTTATTGAGACTATACAATGCCTTAATAATTTTTATGACTATTGATAATTATAATCTCACCTCTATTTCTAATTTGGGTGACTAATCTTTCGATCAATCTTGACAATCTGTAATCATATATTTTAGGTCCTATGCCTCGTATTACAACTGTCGGTTCCATTTTGAATAGCCATCTGAAGGTCACTACCTGATCCACATCAAAACTGTGTTTATAAGTTAATGAACCTTTAAGGTGTTTGTAGCCAAACTACTTGACAATATATTTAAATTCAGTTCATTCTACAAACCTTATTATTATTTAATCTGGAAAAACAGTGGAAAGAAGTTTCGCTATGGAATTATTGATCTCAAAACATAAAAATTACTGTTTCATTTTATGTAATGAAAAGATTTGAAATATGTTCATTTCATTAGTTTCTTCTGCTAGAAGGTGACGTATGAATATCTCATTCGACAGAAAATTGTAATCATTTACTATCGATCTTTATTATTCGACTGCAAACAGAGATCTGTAATTATATCACTAAAGAAAATCCCAGGGAAAAATTTATTTTAAACTGTGGGTTAACTGAAACACTTGAAGTTTCTCAGTGAATTATGATGAATAGTGGAGTTCTATATACATCAAGTAAAAATACTCTTACAGTGTTCTAATGCATTTTCTGAACTCAGTATATGAGCTCGTTTCAGCACTTCTGTCAGAACAAAGATGAACTCGAGAAATGTAGTTCGTGTATCACAGAACATAAGACCTAGTGCTAATACTTCTTCCCGATTTAATCCAGTACCGGAAAAGTTATGAATATACCTTTTAGATTCAGTAAGAACTTTATTTCCAAATGGTTGATTTTCTAGGCTTTCGGGAAGTTGGATACGTTTCTTGTCTCACCTTTTATAGCTTACGTTACAAAGGTAACTAAAGATAGATGTATGTAAAATTAGAAATCATTTCAACTAGAAACAAAAATCGTCATAAGTATTGCAAACAACCATCTTTTTAAATTTATTTTAAAAGAATGGAAATGAAAGTAGTTTGATTGATAAACTTACAATTCATTCTGACACCTGATTTAATCTTGACATTATCTACACATAATTTTAGGCAAAATAAGAATATGCATACCTATGATGTCCGATACCTAATTATCAACTTACCGATCGATATAACTATTGAAGATAAAAATTACTAAGAGATACCAATTTACAAACTAAAGTGGGGGAAATTTCCTTTCTCTCGTCAACAGATTATGTTGTACATAAATAGAAATACACAAAATACCGATTTCTTCTATTTGGTTTTAGGAAAGTGAGTAGGATCCGACTCAATCGAAACTATTTATTATGATCTTTGGGAGGAACTAAATTTCAGAAATATGAGTCCTAGTAATTCAATAAGAATCAATTTATATACATAATAACTACCGTCTGTACAGTTGACAGCCGTCTTTGAGATGAGCGGCCCAATAATAGTATTCATAATGACTGCTTTATTCAATACTATAAGTTTTGATAAGTCGAGGATACCTCAGTACCAGTTTAGCAGTAATATTACAAACATTTCTTTAACAAATATTCAAGTTGCTGTTATTTAAAAGATGCCTTATAAATGCTTTTAGCAGTCAACCCTTATTCAATCACTAAGGTTTTCTACTAGTTCGTCTGCTAAGATTACATTTTCCATTATATATATATATATATATATATATATATATATATATATATATATATATATATACAAAGTACTTGAATTTCAATGTGTCTCTCTCTTGTGCCGCAAAACACTCTGGTAAGGCCGAGGGTGGGGAGAGTTGACACTTCCCCTTGAAATTCTCTCACATCACGCGTATATATTCACTACCAGAGGAGTTCTACTTACCACCTTCTCGTGGCGGGAGTGTTGATTACGAAATTGAGAGAACGAATAGCGAATGTCCGGCGCTATAACCGAGTTAGTAGACACGGAGGGTCTATCGATGGGGCTTGGAAAACACTGATTCCAAACAGATGTTGCGCATGGGCTCCAGTATCCTGAAGGGACAAAGGGCATTTGAACCTATTGCTGGTCACTGTCTACCGTTGCTCCACTGCCTTGTGGATTGGACCTGTAAGTCAAAGGCTCAGGAAGTTCCCTCCTAAGAAAACCACCTGCTTTGTTCTGGGGGCCCAGGTAGCATTCCGGCTCCCCCAGAAGTTGAATGACGACGTGTGGCGCATATGTATTTGACATCTCCTTGTACTAATGTTTATGTGTTTAAATAGATTTCAAAGAGTAGATAATCTGCTCTCAATACTAATTGATTAGATATTTGTTAAATTTATATGACGACTTTTTCAATAAAGCTGAACATACATTTTTAAATTTTACAGTTAATTAAACTTCGCAACTAAACTATTCTGTTATGAAGACATGTTCACGGTGAATATATATATATATATATATATATATATATATATATATATATAAACTAAACAAAAGTAGATGAAGAAAGAATTGGACCTGTTATCAATAATTCATTTCAATAAATCACAACTTAAAGCAAAACAGCTATTCAGTGATCCTTATTTTATTATTTGATAACAATTGAAGAAAATATCAATCATCAATAAATATTTATTCCTTCACAATAAAAGTTGATCGAATCTTCATGAACAATCTCTTTTGGTTTATTTTTTCATAAAAGTTTAACATAAATCATAAACATAAAGAACAAAATAATAATAATAATAACTTAGAAACAGAAAATTCTAATTGAATCAAAAGAACAAGAAGAACATTCAGAAAGTAGTCTCAGACAAACATTCAAAACAGAAGTAAACAAAATAAATGAATTTTCAAGAAAACAATTACTTGCATATATTATGTATGACATCAAGTAAACAAACTGTCAGTTTAATGGTGATTAATTCATAAATAAAAGAAATCATAATCATTTATCCACAACATACATATATATATATTCATCTTTGTTTAAAATTACCAAATAAAAATAAGAAATCAACAAAGACAAACTTGATATTAAAGAGATCGAAAGTAAGTCATAAATCATAAGGAATACTATATATATGAAATCTATAGGAGAATGACTCAAAATTATAATTGTCAGTTATATGGATATGCTAGAATGGATTATTCAGGAAATTAAAACAAACTTCACATACTCGAACTGGTTTAGAAAGTTCATATTTTACAATTGGTACTTCGAATGCTGAACATTGAGCACAAAGTAAACGTCCACAGTGACGACTAAAAAAAAGAGAGAGAAATGTGAAAATCACGTTCGTCATTGAATAAATATGCAACAACAATGGTGAAATATATTACAATTTTGAGTAGTTTAGTGATTTGATTTAATATTGACAGTATAGATAATACGAAAGTGAGATATTGGGGTGAAAGAGATTAAAAAAATTCAAATACGTACACAATAGTGGTTCCTAGTGGTTAAACTGGTCAATATTCTACACTTACTTCGGTTGAAGAAGCCGATGATTACCGATCAAAGAGATCTCAATCAAAGTGTATGATTCAAGGGTGAATACAGATACTCGTACTTTGTAAATCAGTTGCATTTTTAACAAAGAAGTTAGTTCTACTGAACAATGAATTCAGTCAATCAATTATCATCAACATAGAGCCTGATACTTATGTGTATTGAGTCAAGTTACCATACAATATTGGCACAATGAGGTGAAATTAACAAGACTAATGTCAATGACATTGGAGTTTGGAACTGTTAAAATTTGTTTGTTCGTAACGAAGTTCCATGATTTGATCCTCATACGTGGAACTGGGTTGGATCAGAAGACAGTGAAAAGCATAATAACCAGGAGTACCAATATCATTTGTTCTTGTTATTAATATTTACACTTTCTGAGCGACTTACACTGCTGAAGGCAGTGATTGTTCTTAAATAAAGGATCCTGTGCAATTATTGATCCGTTTGTGGTCTCAGCGATTGGTAGAAAAGTTACATAGATGATCATCTAATTTCCGAATGTTGGCCATTAGTCAGCATAATAATTGCGATAACGAATGGTAAAAGAGACTGAAATAAGGTTGTACCAGTCATAATGATAAAGATTGAACATGGAAAGCATATTTCGAAAAGATAATTGAAGCTTATGTATGAGCGAGTACTGCAATTTAAAGGAGAATAAAACGAATGAATGCATATGTACCATAGTCAAGGATTCTTGGGTATGTCACTCAAAGTTTCTAATCACTGATCGCACGAAAAATGAAATATGTGGTTCATAAAGCTATGATCGGAAGACTATTTTTATTATTCATACTGTCTTGATTTACAATATATAAACAGTGGTTATCAACGCTTTCGATTTATTACGAAGTAAATATAGAACTGAGAACAACATATTTATACAGAAGTATGTACATGAAATTCCATAGTTAAATACACCAACAAATGATCGAAATAGTCATCAAATGACTGGTCAAAGATCAAGATCACAAAATGAATCACATTACTTTTGTTTATTATACCGATGAAGAAATTAGATAGACAAGTAACAAAAAACAAATTTTAGATTACAATGAGTTACATACCAGTGATGTTTTCTGTTAGTTATACCAAACTTCACGCCACATTCGATACAAACAGAACCATCTTCCCATCGAGGTTCTTGAATAAGTGAATCTAATAATTTTCATTTGAAAAAATTCACTTTAATAGCCAAAACCAAATACATAAACGTGAGCAATTAAATTTATTCCGTTTATCATAAAACAAAATATTTCTTTATTAAAATATACTGTTGAGGTTATTTAAGTAAATTTAAACACACTTTTTCATCTAACAGACGTGGCTATTTCATTTATATTGGTACAGAGCTTTCATTCTGAAGTTTTGAAATAATTAAAGTGTATTGTTTTGCTTCTAATCAGCTAGTGTAAACTAACAGGTAATAAAATTAACAAAACCTTCGTAGAAGTAATGTTTCAATAAGCAGAGATTCTTATCAAAACGCCACAAGAAGCCTCAATGATTTATTGTTCGTTTATTCAATCGTTTTCCTGACCACAGTACTTATATGATGTGTGCTACTGATGTACATAGACATAATTAGTATGTATCATCAACTGAAAAAGAAACGCCTAGCCACAGAATGTTAAGAAGATCGAGGAAAAGAGAACGATTAGTGTAGAAACGAAGGAACAATGAAATCTCCGACAATTGACTGATATTTTGCAAATGAAGTATTTACTGTGTGATTTTCAGATTTTACTAAGGAATTTTGTAATTTTGCATTGAAATACATTCGATTAGTCCCCACTTGTATTCACGTTCACTACACTTACTATACTGGTCAGGATTGTCTATTACGACTATCCATTAGAATTAGGTTACCTGGAACAGTTGTCCTTAGAGGTCCTTCCATTCCCGACAATTTAGTTAAAGAACAATAAGAATAGGAGTAGTAAATTTGAGATCCAAGGACGAGGTTGTACTAATGACTGTATTAGGGTACATTACCAGTAGTGTTTCTCAGGGATAGTAAACGTTTATAGTTCGGTTGCATTCTCATAAACGGAAGGACGGGTCATTAAAGGTCAGCCATAAAATATCATTTACATCCTTGTTTCATGAATATCTAGCATCGTCAGTTTAAAAAGATTTATCCAAGTAAAAACTTTCGGAAAAAATTGTCCTTGATTGGTGTCAAAGAGCTGTTATTCTTTGCTTTTAGGTCACTCTCCCATATAGAAAGTATTTTCAGTGTTAAATCTGTTTCTTTACTAGGTCCTCCAGGAAAAAGTACCCTTACATGATAAAAGATATTGGAAAGTATTAATCACCAGCACATATTTAACAGTACTAGTATTCAATTTGATCAGTTCTACCATACAATAATTTAAAGAGCATTCATTACCAAATATTTGTATTCCTCTAATAACATGTCTCTACAATAGGAACATGATGGAGCATGGAAATACATTTTAAAAATATTTTATTTACTCGAGAGAGTCAAGAGTGTGGTGTATTGGAAAATGTCTAAAAAGAAGAAGAATAACTATATAAAACAATTGAATTCCAAGGAAAACAGTACCTAGTAATTGTGAAAGAACACGTCCAGGAGTTGGACTTTTATATTTCTTTTTATTTAAACTAAACACAGTATCTCCTTCATAATTCATTATTCCTAAAGATGCACCTGCTTGAAGTAATGCGGTACAAAGTGATATGTTCTCTGCTTGATATGCGAGAATCAATGCTGAAAAAGATGGGGCAAACAGAACAAAACAAAACAATAAAATCAAAACATATTGCAAACATCAAATATAATTAACTTTTATCTAGAAAAAACAATGAATTAGTGATATGTAAGAAGGAACTAATATTTAGAAGTGAAACAATACTTATGAATGTAAAACAAAATGAGTGAAATCTTTTTCCACGAACATTCAATAAATGTATCTTTGAAATAATTTGATAGATAGTTAAGTCATATGATTTTATGTACCTTTCAAATGTGATTTTTATTATAAGATTACATGAGTATTGAATTATATCGAGAACCGGTTGTGTTCTATATGTAAATTGTTACAGTGCAATTCACAGGGGCTCATTGTGACCCTTTCCATTTCTGAGATGAGGATCATAAACGTGTGAGGTTGTGGATGCGCACTAATTCAAAAGCACAAACTACGATGAAGTAACTTCCCAGTATCTTTCGCTTTATTATAGTTCAGTAAAAGACGTCAGACAATGATGAACAAACATCAGATAATGGCTTTTCTTGGATAAATTTACTCAAATATTCAGCTTTTATGTTTATATGCTTGTTGTTACATCTTTAACAAATCCACCTTTATAATATCAATGACTGACTAATTGTTTGCTAAAATAATATTGAATATAATATTATGTTTTGACGAAGTCGAACTTCGTTGGTTAACAGTTTACCAGCAAACTAAAATCCGAAAACAGTCTACACTATGAGGAGTAAGTCGAACTGCTGATCACTTTACAGTATGATCAATAGAACTTGGTAGGCAACATGCATATAGATTGATACTTAATAATCAATAAGGCAAATATATTAGTCATATTGCGAGTCCATAAATGCGTTAAATGACTCAATTTTAACATCGCCAGCTGTAACATTGAGTGATGATTCAAACCACAGTGTGATGATGATGTCCCTTGACACTTTAGATTCATCTTGCAAATACGTGACAACCACCTAGATTCAGAACTTATCGATTGAAAAGGTGAAATTGAGAAGATTTATAGGAAACAGTTTATTTCAAATTACGATATAATTATTCGCATGATAATTAAATATTTATTGACAAAAAAGAATTTGTATTGTTATATAATTTATCTTTTGTACTTGTAAGTCATACACTTCACCCGAATATTGTTCATTAAGGATTTTTCTAATACCTAAAATCATAATAGTTGGTTATGCAGCGTTGAACGTGCCACATATGTGCATCAATTCAAGTTATCTTACAACATTAACAAAGCAAGACCGAGTTATCAAGCCGAATCGCAGATTAGTAGAAGTAGTAACAGCATTAGCAGAAGTAGAAACAATTAAGTGCAGAGGGAAAAAAGAAAGACTTTCAGATTCAGGATCCAAGATTAGACAAAGACAGAATGCATCTATCTTTACGATTTGAGAAAACACGAATTGGTAAAACAGTAAAACTAAAACGAATCATGATGCTTATATAGTAGGGTAAGATAGGAAGTCAATATGCACCTACGCTATTCAGAAAAACTTTGAGAGATGTCATTTAAAGTCACCAACCATTAATCATGGTGAATTTACGGACTCAAACACGATGGTCTGTAAGTACCTACATAGCTTAGTTCAACTGTTAGTGACTTCATGGACTAGTGGCACATTATAGCTTTGCCCTCTCTAGTTTTCTTCTAGCCAACTCCTCCTACATAAGCAAATATGATCGTTTGGGGTAGGGGGTGGTTGAATATACATAATACGTAACTCATTCACCTCAATTGAAGTAGTTGGGACATTTAGAGCAAAACGTTCTTCTTGATTCTCAATATTTTTTGTCAAGTTATACTAAAAATAGGTGAAATCAACAACTGAGTTATTCGCTAATGGTTTCCGATAAAACAAACACAAACAAGAAGTAATTGAATAAACATGTCAACTTAAATATTGAATAATAAATGAATTATCAATAGAGAAAAACTTTATTACATTAACCCAGATTATTGAATACATGTGAGATAAACAAGTATTGTTGGACAAGCACAAAAAAATTAATATGCTAATATGAATAGTACGGGAATAGGAGAAAAGTGGTATGGGGAGAAAACCAGTAAGCAAACAAACAAACAAACAAATGCATTATTGAACAATGCAGATTTGTATGCATTTGCGTGTATATGACAAAATAAAACAGTGTAGAAATCAATATTACATAAAATAAACATAGTTCTTATGCACTAACTTTTTGTATGATCAAGGTATAAACTGCGGTTTATGAACTAAAGGGAAAAAATGGATAAAAGGCTGTGAACGGTGGAACTGAATCGTGTCGGGTGTGAGGCAGCTACCTAATGGAGACAGTGGAAGATGAGAGTGCGAAATCGTGGATTGGTTGAAGTTACACATTGACATAACTGGAGAGTGATTCAGTGATCTAGAGGTTAAACGTTAGTGCGCGTGACAAAAGTTCCCGAATTTGATTCCTACGCCCCAGGTCATAGATGCTCTTCTAGGTTTTCAATGATGGTCTAACTTGAATTGGTTTCAACGAAACTACATTATAGACTTATTAGATAAGATCGACTGACTACGATGCTATAAATTTATTGAATAAAGTAATATTTCTATTGGATTCTATTAACTTTCGAGCGTTTCCTCTACAGTACCAATATGACAATTATCAAATTATGAACGAATAGCTAAACAGATTCCTATCAAGATATCGAGTTAATATTAAAAGAACAAAGAAACCATGAGAGTATCATACCATAAATACTACTGATGTAAATTACTCACGAGTATTGCCAGCAGCATCTTGGGCATTGATTTGATTGGCAACAGATACCTCCAATAAATACTCAAGCATTTCAACACTGACTGGACCTTGATGTTCAACCAGCAAATGAATCGGCAATTGACCTCTACACAAATTATGGATTCATAAGTATTTGTCAGTATAGAATTGTGAACATTGTTGAGTTTCGATTGAGATCATGAATCGATTAATGTTAGACCACAATTGAAAATCTGGAAGCAATAGCGTAGATTGATTTAAGTTAGACATTAACATTGTTGGATGCCAACTTGGTGATAAAGAAGTTAGGCGTTCGCGCACGAGGCATAAATCCATGGGTTTGAATCCGGCATGCGGGATTGTGGACGCGCACCGCTGAAGAATCCCATGATAGGACAAAACGTTCATCCAGTGCTTCCAGGATTTTAATAGCGATCTAATATTGATCGATTCATGATTTCAATCATAAATATTTATAGTTCATATGAAGATCAGTTAATTATAAGCATCAATTGGGTGATTTAACAGCGTTAACTTTATTCTAAAGACTATGATGAATAAATCGACACGAGATGCGACATCATCATATGGGAGTTTACAAACAAAAAATTGTCATCACTCAGAATTTTACTAAACAGTTTTTGGCTACTCATTAGTAGACAGCCAGTATATGATAAAAGAGTGTGCTTAAAAAGTGAGGATGTTTAATTCCATATTGGATTGCTTATTGAAAGGGATTGGGATGGGAGTAAAGTACAAAAACCTGGCACTGAAGTTCCAAAAAATTGTTAATTGTGATGGAGAAGTAAAAATTTGCAAGACACCTGGTTTTGTGAGATCCTAATTAGTACATATACCGTAACATATGACACTTAATACTAACTCATACGTGGCCTTTGACGTAATTTAAACAAACGTTAAATAAGTCACTTGAAAGTGATAGGCAGAATTTTTCCCTATTTGGACAGAATTATGGTAAAATCAAAAGTTATACACAAGTATAAATCTTATGATGTTGTGAGTTAACGTTATAAAAAATGCTTAAATATTCATAGCCATTTACAATCGTGATTTTACTTTGCTTTTGATAGTCGTGGTATTTCATAAGAACTACTGATGAACAAATACAGTGAAAATCACTTTTCACAATCTATATATGAATGTCAAATTGGTGAGATAAAAACATACAAGCGAGATTATTTTAAAAAATTACAATTATATTGTAATATGTCCACAAGATTATTATTATTATTAAAATGATACAAACTAACCTGATATTTATACAATAACAATTTGTAGCGGGATGATTGAGCATTTTTACAAGACAATCCACTCTAGCATGTCGAACAGCTAGATGTAGTGCTTACATAGAAATAAAAGATATTTTTTGATCATGAAATAACTGAGTAATTGACACATAATAATAGGTAAAAACGAGTTCATGTCATATGTTATAAGTAATATTTAGTGTACGGAGACTAACTAGCTTGAATCCAAATAAATAAGATATAAATCTGTATCGAAAATTTAACGGTTAAGAGTTTTGCGCTTAAAATGACTGAACTCAGCATTTTGTAAACTTTATAGGTAGAATAATGGGGATAAAGCAGATTACTGATGAGACTCACCCGAATATCAGTGAATTAAATAAGTCATTTGTCTATGGAGAATCTAATAATACGCTTCCCATTGGTTCTAACTAGGGGTAGAGCTATAAATCAAGATTTACTGAAAATGATGTCTCAAAAGGTTTTTATTAAATTCATTACAGTTTAGCATGTTTCTACAATCCCTATCTTCGTTAAAACGAAGGTTAAAATCTACTAATATTTACACTTTTACATCTATTAATTTGGATGTACTGATCAATTTAAAGTAAATTAAAAATGTATAAGTAGTCATATTGGATATGATAACTATTTTATATCACGATATAAAGCCAAGTTTAGAAAGAGGTTCTAAATAAGTTGCATGCACTTTCTTAGACCAAACTTCGTTTTAAAGATGGTAATGTTTTCTAATGACAGTCTATTTGATGTCAGTTTTGTGACTGAACTAAGGGCAAAGCCAACTACCTTAGTCATCGTAATATTTACTTATTCAAAGAAACCTCCGTAACTGATGTCAATACTATTTATTAGAAGTAAACTTTTAAAAGAGATTTATTGAAAAATGATTTTTCGTTCGTTCGGCTGTGATCGCAAAAGTTGACGAAGTTACGAAATCCAAATTTTGTTATGCCCCATTAGCAAGACGAGATGAAATTAACAAGATGCTTAGCAAAAGAGATCGGAATAAGAAAGTAGCAAAACTGTTAGCAATTAGACATATTATATATACTTACGTGTATTACGTTCTGAATCTTGAGCATTGGGGTCAGCTCCATTCTCTAATAAACAATGTACTAATTCCGGTCTGTTGTAAATCACAGCCAAATGAAGACCATATTGTTTTTGTGGTGTCTGTGAGTTAATAGATGCACCGGCAAGAAGCTATTGATAATAAGAACAACAACTCACTCAAAATAATGATGGATGGAAATAAGAAATAAGATTTTGAAGTGAAAATGAGATAATCTTTGTAATGTCAGGGGAAAAAGACTGTAAGCTGAATTTTATGTAGATATAAAAAAGTAGATAACAGTGTAAAGTATATGTGAATACACGAAATTCCACGGGACAACAAACCTATATACATTTCAGCAATTAGATATGTAAAAGGAAACATTCTACTCAAAGTAAACATTCCACGGTATCCCTCATTTCTACAGTATGAAACGAGGATGAATAATTAATACAAATCCTAAGTTGACCAGTAAGTTTATATAAAAGAATTAATCTAAATAAAGCGAGGACAACAATCGCAATATATATCATGCTTCTCAGTTGCCTGCCAGTTCAACAAAGCTCATGAAAACATTAAATTTAGCATGAGATATGAACATAATGATCAATTCAACTACCTAGACTTGAACTTAAACAAAAGAACCATGAAGCAACTGAGAAGAGCATATTCAAAAAAAAACATGGATAAGGCAGATATCGTCCTATACTCTGTATATCAGTCAACTGGATAACTGTTATTACTATAATTTCCAATGGTGTACGAGTTCTAGAAGCCAAAACGAGGTAGTCCGAAAACTTTATTTCAACGCACAGTTCAAATTATACGATAAGCAGACAGCAAGGCGAGAGAATGAATTCATATTGAACATAGTTTAACAAGCAAATATTTATTTGCATGGGAATGGGTCATTGAGTGTTTAAGGGATTAACATTCACGAGGGTAACAGAAATACATTCGTAGGTCATCACATGCATTCAATCATATATTCTTATTTATGTAAGTATAAAGATAGATATAGAAAATATAAGCAAATTATTATGGTTTAAAATAACATTGTCTGTTAGCTAAATGGGTTAAATTAAATATTTGACTAATTTTGACATAACCTGTATGTCGGTCAGATCACCATAAGATAAGCCGCAATAGATTTTGTCTTATCACAATGTTTAAGTAAAAGCCCAAACGAATAAAAGTTAGGACAAACTTATCTATATTCCATTAAAAAGGGACGAGACTTCAAGCAGAATTTATAAAGAGGATTAGAGCGGCGTTAAGATGGAGCATCATTTTAGACTAACTGTTCCAAATATATCATACCGAATATTCCTTGAACCGATCAAAGGTTTGTCAATACCCTTTTAAAAGTCAACCCCAAATAGATTAATGAATTGACATATAGCAAGTGTTGTCGATTGCTGTATGATAGATACTGAATAAGCTGAACAGAGCTAAAGAGCAAATGTACGTGTTAAACTAAGAATCGATTTATTTAACTAATTTATTTTTAATTAGTAGCCAAAATAATATATTTCTTTACTTACTAATGTGATCATAAAATCAAATACGGTAAATAGGTTTTTAAGCATAACGCAAAGTATTCTACTGGCTAATCTCGGAGACTAAAGAGATATTATAACTCATTATTAAGGTATTATGTGGTAATTCACTGGAAAACTGATACTACAAACAAAACAATCTTCATATCTTACCAAACTACGTAAAATATCCTCATCGACACCAGTTTTAATTGCTAAATGAAAGGGTGTGAGATGATGTACATCACGTACACAAGCATTCATATCAACGCCAATTTGAATAAGAAGAAAAATAGCTTCACGATCGAAATTTTCTATTGCAGTATGTAGAAAATTACGTCCTGAACTATCAACCTATTCATAATGCAAAATATTACAATTAGAAATTAGAAGATAATGCTTATGTTGAAATTTTAACACATTGCTAATGAAAATGAATAAAAGAGACAACTTTTAAGAAAGAGGTCCAAAAATATGTTTACTTTCCCAGTTGAATATGTCATATGAGTACACCCAAAACTATTACTATTATAATTATTACTATAGAAAGTATTAGGCGTGAAAACGTCTTTTCCATTTCCTCTATTTCAGGTCCCTAAATTTCAAATTCAGAGACCAAATTTTGGGAAGTGAGAAAAATATGTACAAATTGGCTAGTATGTTTTAATACATTTTATCAGTAAATCACGTAATACATTACTAAACTACTATTTTCATAATATATAAAAAATCTGTTATGTATTGATAAGCTGACTATTTTATTTCCTGTAGTTACGAACACAAATATTATGCATTTTTATTTGCACAGTCGCTGAACAATAACAGTCTTCAATAAAAGGGGGTTTATGGAGATTGTTAAAATAATTTCTTTACGTCACGAATTGATCTTAGACAATCATCAAAAATCAAGAAGGACTGAATAACTGTTTCTTCCCAGCATGAAACTCCTAAATAGTAGGCACCCACTACCTTAATGTTAATTGAACCTACGGCCTTCATACCTCATGACGAGAGCTTAAATTTTAGATTGCTGACTATTCATAAAACGGTTTATATATCTAACTTTAATCCATTCGTGACATCGGGCAACTATTCTCCAATGCCATCGACGGGTAACTTGCTTCTCACACCATGGATGAACTCCAGTGGCCACAAAGACAGTTGAGCAATATCCAGAATTGATTTAAATTAGATATGTAAACCGCTGGACAGACGCTTAGTGGTCTAAAATCTAAACACTCTCTGAAAGTCAAGAAGGTCGAGGATTTGACCCCCATTAAGCTGGTAAGTCTTCAATGGTTAGAAGACCCATAATGGGAGGAAACAATTGTCCAGTGATTCCTACTTTCAAATGGTTGTCTAACTAAGATTAGTCCGTAATGTAAAGTATGTGATAACAAAATCAACCGAACTAATAGCATGGGATTAAAAAGTTAATGAAAAGCTAACCATTTCACATAACTGAACTCAAATTCTATAGCATAAAAAACTTTCATTTTTAACCAGTAACTAACTTGTAAAGCTAAAGAAGGATCTTTTTTCAAAAGATTTTGCGCAATTGTACGTTGACGTGAATCTACAGCTACTTGAAATACGGTGTATGCTTGTGCATCACGAACGGTATAATCTATTTGTGGTGCTTCAATTAACAGGTTGGCAAGTTTTTCATTTTTTGATCTGATTGCCAAATGTAAGGCAGTTTCGCCATTGTAATCCTAGATGAGGCAAGATGACATGAAAATGATCAGCATCATATATATATATATATATATATATATGGGATAAAGACATGATACTCATGTAATTTATTCCAAACATGATAAATATAACCCTCTTAGAATTTTTTCATGATAACACCAAAACTTACTGTTTTCTACAGTACTATTAATAAATACAATGTATATTTAGACCAAAGACAGTTTAGCGAAAGGTTTCATAAAAATTAAAGGTTTAGGTTCAAAGATAATGGATAGTGAACGTGTAGATGAAATCCGATAATCGTTAGAAAAAGATTCGGCTGGATTCAAGGTAGATGAGCAGAGTAGTAACTAAAAATATACTTAAATTAAGTAAACGATTTATTATAGCAGTTGCTAATGAAAGGGTGGTTAAATTAGCCAGCCTTAGATTACTGAGTACAGGGTTCTAAACTTGCTACAGCCGATTTAGTGTGAGCAGCTAGATAGGTTCGCAAATATATGAAATAATGACTCGGAACAATGATCATAAATATTGACTTGGTATAATGAGTTTCGCTAACGTATTAACAATAAAACTGAAGACTTACACGATGCTAATTTTCTAATAGCCATGTTAAAATGAATAAAGTAGGGTGACGAACTTTGAAAGTCATTTCTTGGGATATCAGTATGCATATTTTTAATGTGTAGTTAGTAAAAGACAATGTATAAAATGTTCATATTCCATGACCTGTAAGATTTCGTTCAACTCATAAACTGTTAATATATCTTATGATGTTTAAAACTTACACATAAAATTCATCATATAAGTTTAGTATGAGAATTCCGTATCCAAAATGACATTTTTAGGCTTTCATTGGATCTGTTAATTATGGTTTTCTGTAGTCCTTGATACTGTCGGTCAACCAGATATAAGCCTAACCGATTCTCTACTGAATTTATGAGATAATATAATTAAAAACAAAATACAACTTCCCAGCAGCTTGTAATTCTTGTAACAACTTTGAAATACATTTCATAGATCTCATCTAGTCGCTAATTTAAACGTATGCATAGATAATCTCAGGACCCTAAATCAAAACTTTCAGCTGTAAAATACCAAACAAAAATATACCACGCTACAAGAAACAATCAGAAAAAAATGGGAAAAATCTAAATCCTTTACCACATATACAAGAGATTATGTAGATAACGAATGATTGAAACACTGGAGTAATCAAGAAGAAATGCTGAATTTAGGTTTGAACCTTTAAATTAGTGAGTAGTTAAAGGCCATGGAACCCGACTCCACAACTCTATTATTAGTATTAAGGTATCACACCTAATTAAAACTACAATATGACATCCAAAAAGTCTCATTATTGATCATCGTTGAAAGTATTCCAGTTGATTAGTTACTATACCTTAAAAATTAACATTCCATGTGAAGTTGTACACATCATTCACAACTTCATTGGGCATTTCTGTCTATAAAAATTTAATTCAAATTTTACAAAAATATTAATACAAATTTTTACTGATGCAATAAAGAAATTTACCTGTTGGTTAATATATACACGACTAGTGGAGATAAGTACTTGAACAAGTTCATACATACCAATTAAAGTAGCCATATGCAATGGAGATCGAGCTAATTCCGGTATAATATGATCAGCTTTTTTCTTATCTACTGAATAATCAAACTGTGCACACGCATTGACATCACAGTTTCTAATTGAATAATTATTTGAGAATAACAGTTGAGAAAGAAAAACTAATGAAAATAGATTCTAACACAGTGTGTGTATGTACGAAAATATTTAATACAATGGTTTGAAAATTCTAGACTCTGATTGATCGAATATTAACATCTACGCAGTTTTCATCTGCTTGAGAATAGTATTCACAATCCCACAAACAATAATCCAACATTATACGACAAACACAAAATTTCTGTACAATTTCTGATTCTTATGGAAATGCAAAACATGAGCAATAAAAGAGTGATTAGTTGCCCATTCGGATTCATTCATTGACAGTGTTCTTTAGAGCTTCCAGAGACAGAAACGCTAGAGGGAAAAGTAGTAAGAAACGCGTTTTCTGTGACCATAATCATATTCAAAACTAATTCACTATTTGCACTTGCTTCATTATTTTTTGGTTCATAGTTAGAAAAAGAGGTGATTAACCCACAAATTACTAACTTTTTACTTCTATCTTAAAATGAAAATGATGATTGACGCCATTTTTAAAACCAGTAATTTTATTGGACAGGAGGTGACTGATCCATAAAGGTAAGAGATACAAATTTTTAATTGATGGCTGGGTCGGGATGAATAGTAAGTTTATACCACTGTGGTATTAGTGTTTTCCGATATGAATAGTGGTTCATTCATGAGTTAATGAACACTATTTAATCTAGTGTGGGATATACATATCTTTACAAATATCTATACTTTTATTTGTACTATACATAATAAACCGGAATTGTTGAAAAATAAGAAGGAAAATAGGACTTTATAAAATAGCGTTTTGTGGTTTTAGAAAGTTTGTTAGTTAGTCATAATCAATAAAGGGCCTGGCACAAATAATAATAATAGTAGAAGTATAAGTTTTGTGATGATTACAACAGTTTATCGAACTATAGTTCCATTAAGTATTTAATGTAACAAAAATTTAATAATTCAAACAACAATCATACTCACAGACCATTTCAATCTGAATAAGACAATATTCAAAACGTACTAATCATAATTATATTCAATAAAAATATGAAGTTAATAAAAATTAATAAGTTGATTTATATAACCGACTTTTGGGTAACTGACAACAATTAATTAAGCAAAAGTGGTTGAATCCAAAGAAAATTCACTCTATTTAGTATATTACAGTCAAGAACAGAGGTGGTAACCTATGAGTAAAGGTTTCAACTGATAGTGAATTTCCCTACACTTTAACATTGGGCAACTATAAAATGTGAAAAATACACTGAAAAAAGTATTATCAAAATTTAAGTACAATGGTAGCGAATATTGGGTAAGAAGAAAAAATCATTCAGTAACACGTATACCACCACCACTTACCGTTTTACTAGAAACACACCAGCCTCTTCATTATTCGCATGGATTGCCCGATGTAGTAGAGTGATTTTTGCATTTGTTTCATTAAACGGTGCCCATGAATTAACATCAGCTCCATGATTCACCTAGTGATAAAAAGTTTATACTTTAAAATTAACGAAAGTGATGAAATGAGTAATTTACCCAAACTACTGATTACTTTCAAAAATAAAAATTAAATTAGAAATGAGGTGAATTATTGAAATTTTTGAATGAACACGACTTCGTAGTTTGATTTTTCATCTAGAATATGTACCCTATTCAATTGAACATGCTGTTTATTACATTTATTTGACGTGATGCATGTCAAACACAATAGACACTGTTTTTTATGTAGTGTGACTAATTGTGATCCAGGTATTTTATGCAACAGACTATTAAATCAGTTTAAGTATACAGTTTAATATGACTTCATTGACTGGACAAGTAAGTTTGACTATATGAAATAACTGGTAGGAATTTCTTGGCCTAGGTTTCACAGTGGTTGGTGCTTATCAGAGAAATGTATCTTCTATATCACGGGAACTGATGCGACTCGCAGGAAGTTCTAATAATAATCACCCAGTGCCGCAGCTGAGTGTGTTACTACTCGATCACTGCACCTGTTAGCAACGTCCTGTAAAGCTGATATGTGTACGCTCATCAGCGAGTGACTAACCGACAACAGAACACACATATGTTGTCATAGAACCTAGTTAATGTCGTATGGTCCTTTACACAATCAACAATTACATAATCAATTAATAACTAAATTATATATGTTCTCACTCAAATAGTCAGTTAGGGGGGGTAGCGCCTAGCACACTGTGTATCAGCATCAGATTTCTAACATCACCTGTTACAACATTCACGTAAAGATCTAATAGGGTAAACTTCATGCTGACAAGAAGAAATCACCCTTAGCACTTATCTTTTCATGTTTAAACTGAGAAAATTTGGTAGAATTGGATAGAAAACATTTAATAATAGGATGTTTATACCACTTACCAAATAATCAGCTATTTTCCATCTTCTCAATTTCAATGCAATCCATAGAGGGTTAATATATGACTGAGAGTCAGTTTCGCTGATTAATTTTTAAAATGCAACAAAAGAATAAATAAAATTTGATTTAATGGAGTTTAATTAATAAACTTCTGAATTAGATAGAGAAATAAATGTACAATTTAAAATTACCTATTTATTCACAGAAGACAGTTGATAGAAGCAGAAATACACATCTGATTTGATGTCTTTTTATTTCTAAAACTCACTAGGCAAAATAAAAGTAACAAGGAATATATCAGCTATGGCTACTAAAAACCAAAGGATAGTTTTTAGTTTTTAGCTACTGTATAGTAGGTTCGACTAGATCATAATAGATAAAGTAGTGATGAAACTCAGTAAATATTTGTGCATTCTGCCTTGCGTTAGACTTTTCGTACACAGCTAGTGATACAACCAGAGGCTTCATCAAACCAAATAGAAGAATTTATACCTGCAGTCAAGCAACCGAAAGTCGAGCATATTAATCATACCAAACGTTATGCATAACTCAAAGGATGCTGTATGCAAACATATTGGTTACTGGAATACTAATCACTAAATCACTATACTCACTCACTTTAAATAGTCTATTCTGGTTAACGTATTCTGGCAAGGTTGTTTCCTATGAGATGGGGTTGCTGACTCCATGCGTAACCATCCACCTTTGCTCGGACATGGAACCGTCATCATCGTTCAGAACTCATAAGACGGACTACACTGCGAAGTCATGCATGGAGGACAGCTGACAGATGCATTAGGAGTGAGGACCGGAGTTAAACAAGGTTGCTTACTCTCCCTTTCTCTTTCTTCTGGCGGTTCACTGAATTGTAAAGACCTCCATATCTCAGGGGAAGCATGGAATACAATCGGCAGCTCGGAATCAACTAGACGATTTGGACTTCACAGATAACTTAGCTCTTTTATCTCATACACACTAACAAATGCAGATCAAGACAGCCGATGAGGTAGCAGGCCTCAACATAGACAACGTAAAAAACAAGATCCACTAATACAACACAGAACATCAACTCAATCACATTTGATGAGGAAGCTCTGGAAGAGGTGGAAACTTTCGTGTACCTGGTCAGCGTCATCCATTAAACAAGAAGAGACTGATGCAGGCGTAATGGCGAGGATTAGGAAAGCAAGGACAGCATTCCTGCAGTTGAAGAACATATGGAACTCAAAACAACTGTGAACCAATATCAAAGTAACAATCTTCAATACGAACATCAAGACAGTTCTACTGTACGGAGCTGAAACTTCGAGAACTACTACAACCATCACCAAAAAGTAAAAGCATTTATAAACAATCGTCTACGCAAGATACTCAATATCTGTTGGCCGGATACCATCAGCAACAATCTGCTGTATAGGAGAGAACAAACCATCTTCCAGCTGAAGAGGAAATTATGGAAAGACGTTGGAGGTGGATAGAATGTACACTAAGGCTATCATCAAAGTACATCACGAGGCAAGCTCTTACTTGAAATCCTGAAAGGAAAAAGAAAGGGGCAGATCACAGAACACATTATGCTGGGAGTCGGAGGCAGATATCAAAGAAATGAATAGCACTTGCAAACAACTGGGAAGATTTGTCCAGAATAGAGTCCGATGGGGAATCGTGGTGGGCAGCCCACGGGGTAATAGGCGTAATTAAGTGAGTAATAATTACCTGGTCATTAACGATAATTACAGGACATAACATAAAAATGCATAAGGATCCGTAAATGCTACCGATTTTACGTATCTATTAAACGATAAAGAGATCACCAAGGTATAACCGCCTCAATTGGCGGTACTAGGAGAGTTAACATCAATCAGTAAGACAACAAATAAGGAGGGACATTTACAAGAAAGTGTACTGAGTATCCAATCATCAACTAAAGACATGGAATCAGTAACAGTAAATCGAGGGATTTATATATAAGCATATAAACACTACATTGGCTTTCTGAAATTAATACATTTGTTAAATTTTAAGTGAAATAAAATGAAAACACTGATCATGTCATTGTGAGCAGCTAAAGAGCAATAAAAGGTTCCCAACTTTTATAAACACGCATATCGTTTATGATCATTTACAAACCATACATCTTTATTTCCTTTTTTACATAGTTTTCATAGACATCCATTATTTTACAATTGTCCACAAATTTTCTCTATCAGTAAAAATTCAACCACAAGACCATATGCGACTTCAAATGTAACCCGTTGGATATACATGTCACATTCACTGACATAGATAGTTAGTATAAATACAACAATACATCAATCAACGAATAAGCAACTTATAGGACAATCTGTTGGAATAACATCCATCATATACACGGTCAGGATGAATTAGGTAAATAGACATGGAAACAAACATAAAAGAAATATAAATAATATTTAAATATAACTAATATTTTTAAGACTAGTAAAAACTATGAAATGATACTTCTCATTAATATCAGCATCATGTTCGACCAAGAATTTTACAACTTCGAATTGATCACGTTCAATGGATTGAATCAACAAAGATGGCTTATTACATTTTGTAGGTATTATACTCAGGAATGACTGAATAGTGTTATCGGATTCATTGATTTTAAAGTCAGGACTAGCTGATGTATTCTTTGATTGATTATACATAGATTCTAATATTCTCTTGACCAACTGAAACTGCTCCGACCACAAAAGTAAGCTGAGGACTGAATCACCAGACTCATTCAACAGTAACCAATCAACATTAGCTGTAGATGATAAATAGAGATAAGCATAACATATGTTTGGTATCTAACTGGATAGATTACTAAGGTGTAAGTGGAAATTGACAGGTGAGAAATGAAATATGACGAGGAAGTATAAAAAAGCTTTAACTAGACAATTCACACAATTGGATTTTGGCTCATAAACTATTAGTTAAGAGATATTTTGGCTAAGAAAACGACCAGTGGTTGTAGTTTTCGCAGAATGAGCTAGATTTAATGACCAGTTAATTGTCTGTAAATAGCAAATAAAGGAGACTTCAATTTTATGTTTATGGAATATATTTTTTCTGTGGCATCAATTATCACGAAATCTGTACGTTAACTGAAACTTATTCTCAACAAATCACATATATTAATTATCAGAAGGGGTTTTGTGGAGATTTAGTATTTATCATAGTTGAAAGCGTGAGTCAATTGAAGCTAGACCACCATGGAAAACCTGGAAACACTGGACGGCCGTTTCGTCCTATTATTAGCTTCAATTGACCCACGCTTTCAACTATGATAAATACTAAATCTCCACAAAACCCCTTCTGATAATTAATATAATCATATGCTCACTAGTGACTTCGAGAAGTATATCTAGGAGCTCTAGTGAGAAGCAGTGACCAGTGGAGTTCAAAACCACGTCTGTTGTGAGATAGGAACTCACTGAAGACAATTGGTGAATGGTTGCTCAACTTCGTGGATCAGTAGAAGTTGGACATTAACACCGTTGGATGACAGCTCAGTGGTCTATCGGTTAAGGGCTTCGGCCCGAGACTGGTAGGTCCTGGGTTCGAATCTCGCGAGAGCGGGTTCGTGGATGCGCACTGCTGAGGAGTCCCATAATAGGACGAAACGGACGTCCAGTGTTTCCAGGTTTTCCATGGTGGTCTAGCTTCAATTGACTCACGCTTTCAACTATGATAAATCACATATATTCATTTTATTAGTAAAGTGATTACCGTCTGTCTTGTGAATGTGGACAAGTGAACAATTTTAGAGCAATTGACAATTAACAATTTGAGTACACGCTTTATACCCTGAAAATTAATTTCAATCTTGTGAAAAGACTTTCATCAATTGTCATTTTAGAAGCTTCAAGTCGCATGCAAAAATAAAGACTTAGCTTTATAAAAATCTCATTCTCATCGGCCAATTTTCAGGGTCACACCCAATAGTCTGACAAATACTTAAAAATTCCCATTCCCTCATTATCACAAGCAATAGTAAACAGAAGTTTACGTATTTACTTATTTTTTTAACTATTGGATGTTTGGAATCAAAGAATAACACGGGATAGTGTGAGTATGAGTTGTTAACCAGTGCGCTTATTGAGTTGTTCAGTTAAATAGAGTAACAGTCATGCTGAATTGGATTTCGACTAGTATAACAGGAACACAAAGACCATAAGGCCGTGCACGCGCTGCTTGTGTTAACCATGAGAATTGTAAGTAGTGAATTTATGACTTTTGATTTTTGTTAGTCCTCAAACGTGGACAAAGCATAAAACACTAGGAAAAATATATCAATACAAACTACCACAATTTTCGAGAATATACATTTTATAAGGAAATACAAATACATAACCACTATCTATCCAACCAACATATGACAACTGACTTAGTAAGGGTAGGTTTGAAGCGTTATCAAGCTGATTGAATCATTGTATGAAACTGTAAAATTGATACTTATTGATTTAGGGTATACGAAGTTCTCCAAATGAAGTCTATAGAAATCCCCTAGCAGGGAGCGACTCGAAAATTTTCAATGACAAATGTGCCCAGTTTTAACATTTGATCATCATAACCATTTTAATATCCACCTTTTTTATTAAAAATTTGTTATGTTGCAACCGGCTGCCACTATTTGCGATGATGTTGAAAAGTAGGTGGCTTAATGGTTTAACGAAACATGACCTCCAAACGTCAAGGTTACGAGCGTGGATTCTACTCCACTTATTTAGGTTTGGGTTACTGGATAGTATAACTAGCCATGAGGCTGTAACTTTCAAACAATAGGCTTCAAGTAAAAACACCGTTCCATCGGCATGAGTTCGAAAGATTAGACAGTGTCATTAAACCTCATACCAAAACGTCTGGCTGAAAGCTGAGTATACGAATCTGCACTAGTTGTATTTATCATAAGTTATAGTAGAAAAATGAATGCATTAAATCTAAGTATGGAAGCCTATACGAGGTTATTGAAACAGTTCAAATATACCATTCAGTCAGTCTTGAATTTAATTAGCTAATTAACCATAAGCACTACCATATAACACTTGACTGATAATCTTGAATGCAATAGTTTAACTAATTTGCAAAGTGTAGGCTTAAGTACTCGCCTTTTAGTCACATTTTTATGTGAGGACTAATGATAAACTCCAGCTAACTGATAACAGAGCAACGTGGAGTTTGAACTTGTGACCTAATGGTTGAAAGCAAATGTTGCTAGACCAACAACCCACTTTAAGTTAATGTATGATCCACCAAATCCAAACAGATATAGTGAAAACAGACTATAAATGAATAATGTATACTGACTAACCCTTGTTTTCGAGATAAAATTCGAATATTCCAAACATTTTGTGTTGTACAGCAAGATGTAAAGGACTGCAGTATATTTGTTGGGTAGACTTGTGATCACTTTTAATTGCACTCAATGATGATGAATCTAATACCGATGTGGTAGAAGTGGCAGCACCGTTAACTGCTGAGTCAATGAATAAACGTGAACTATTCACTTGATTTGGTATATTATCCATAGGGTTAGATAAAAGATAGCAGTCATCATTACTTTCACAGTCATCGTCGAAAGGATTTAACGGCTTTGTAAAGTTCCTTTGATTAGTTTCTTTCACACAAGTACTTTCGTAAGAAGTCTGTGACAGGATTTCCTAAATAGAGTGGAAATTATTACTTTATGTCGTATTATTTTCTTTAATACGAAAACAATATTAAGAAATCAGCATCTTGTACAAAAATGAAAGAAAATTTCATGCTCTGAACGAAATAAATTATTATGATTAGATGAGTGTCAATGAGGAAGGAGTATCGTTCAGTGATAAATGAGTTAGACCCCACTTGGTAAAATTACAGAAATGAATCCCCTTGCAGACAGAGCAAAAACAACAAGGTTTGAAGAATAAAATGAAATTATTAGTCCATTCCACCGTTTCTCATCAGCTGCATACAACTTAAAACAACAATTATCAGTACCATCATTAACAAATGTTTTGTATACTTCAGTATGTGAAGTATAGACAAATGTTTGAAAGATAAGCAAAATAATAAAAATAATGGGGATACACAGTGTATGACTATATATAGTTAAGAAAGATGTGTCTTTACGTAATAAAAATTAATAATTCAAAGATGCTGCAAAGGTAGTGAAATTAATAATAAGTGATCATGTTATCGCTCATGTGATGTAATAAGCAGATATACCAACATCAATAAGATTGTGTAAGGTGTGAGTATCAGCAGACGGAATAAAAGCAATTTAAACCATTTGAACTCTACCCTGACAGTTGAACGATCATCATTATGAAGAATTATGACGCCTCATTGTGAAAGCCAAGATTCTTCGGTAATCACGAGGAAGATCCCATTCTAACAACCAGAGCATCATTTAGCACCTCTTTGAGATACTGAAAAACTCAACCAATTCAAGATAACTATCAACAGCAGCTTCCGAGCCCTACAGGATCTACTGAAAGAAAAAGAAACTACTATGGTGGACAAATGGGAAGGGATCAAATATCACTAACTTCAACATATCAGGAGGTTCTCAGCCGAAGCAAGCATCATCATAAGGAATGGATCTCTATCGAAACCCTAGACAAGATTCAAGAAAGAAAGAACAAAAAGACAGCCATTGACAACAACCGAACAAGAACAGATAAAGTCAACGTACAAGCTGAATGCACAGAAGCAAACAAGCAAGTAAAGGGGAACATTAGTCACGACAAGCAGAAATATGTGGAGACAACAGCGGAAAAAGCTACAAGAGGAAGAAATATGACACAACTATGTGTTACGATGAAGAAACTGGCAGGGAAACGTAGTAAACATGAGAGATCGGTCAACGACAAAGAAGGCCAGGCAATCACTGAGATTTTAAAACAACAGAACGGATGGATGGAACACTTCGAGGAACTCTTGAATAGACCAGCTCCATTGAATTCACAGGATATCGAAGCAGCCTCCACAGACTTTCCCATCAATGCCACTCCACCAAAGATTGAAGAAATCAGGTTGGCCATCAGACAAATCAAGAGTGGGAAAGTAGTGGGACCTGACAGCCGAAGCAGTACAATCAGACATAGACGCAATGCAAACATGCTCCACATACTATTCAGGAAATTTGAACAGAGAAATGAGAAGACAAATTTTGTGAGATAGTACCATTTCGTGCTTTCTCGTCAGTCACATACAAGCAACATGTTATTCGTGTAAATACAGTTTTGAAGATAAGGTCAAAATTTCTTATTTAGCATGACATTCACTTACTAGAACCATGGTAAACAAAGGTCAACGTACAGTTGTTTTTGAACACATAACGTTGGACTTTTCCGACCAATCAAGATAGCTTCGAGTAGTTTGAGTGAGTGTGGTGACATGTCACAACTCTAAAGGCTGATTTTGGGTCAATTTGATGACCACTCATCATTAGATGTTTTGCAATGGACGAGACTGGGTTTCTTGATCGATCTTGAGATGACGGGCTAGGTGGATGAATCATGGATTTGATTAACCATCTTGGAATATGTTCCCCTATCCTGTCCTCCAATCGGCGATGTGTCCTACCTAAGTAACTTTCTCCGCAGTTACATGTGAATTGGTAAATACAGTGGGATTTGGACTGAATCGGTCTTGGAGACTTGATAGGGTTAACTGAGATCGACTGAGTTGTTGTGATAAGCCTCAGATTAGCTGCATTGAAGGTCTTTTTTATTGCAGCTGCAGTCTGTTTGGTTGTAATTTTCATGCACTGATCACCCTTGAAAGGTAACTGTAGGTATACTGGTTTCTTGGGCACATCCGTTGCTATCAGTTTCGTCGTATTTGTGTTCTGATGACCAATAAACGTTTCAGGATATCCGTTTAATTTAAGTGTCTCAGTAATAAACTTAAATTCGTCGTCCAATGTATCTACAGTGCAGATTCTACTTGCCCGAGCGAATAAAGTTTTGACAATAGAACGTTTATATTGTATGGGGCAGAAACTAGTGAAGTGGAGGTACTGTCCCGACCAGGTGGGTTTGCGATGTACTCTGCGTCTGATCGATCCGTCTGGACGGCGATGGAGCAGGATGTCGAGGAAAGCTAGTTCATTATTGTTTTCTTCCTCATAAGTGACTTTCAGATTCGGGTGAATTGCATTAAATAAATCATTGACTTGATTAATATCTGTAGACTGTGGTAATATGACAAGAATATCATCGACATATCGTTTGTAAAGTGTAATACCATCAATGAATTGACTCACTTGCCTTTCTATCATTCCCATGAATATGTTTGCTAAAGCAGGTCCGAGAGGGCTTCCCATAGCCACTCCATCGATTTGCATATATGCTTTACCTTGGAAATAGAATTTTATATTCTTTGTGCACAGCAAAATTAGATCTCGAAGATAGGTAGTAGGAATGGATATTCTTATGTTGTGTGAAGTTATGAAATCACAAATAAATTCCACAGTTTCTTCGAGAGGTACATTTGTGAACAAAGAGTTTACATCGAAAGAACACATTCGACTATTAGAAATATTCAAGTGTTCCAAGGTTGGGAGAAGTCCAAAAGAATCAATGACAGTATGTGTCGATAGTTGTTTACAAACAGGATCCAAAATTCCTTTCAACCATTTTGCTAGCTTATGGTATGGTGAATTTATCATGGACAAAATTGGTCTCATAGGTGTTCCAGGCTTATGCAGTATCGGTAAGCCATACATTTCTGGTGTGCATGTACCAATGGGCTTGAGCATTTTATAATGGGCCTCGGTGATAAAACCGTGAAGCATGAGTAGATGTAGTTCTCGGCATATTTGTTTTTCGACCAACTTCACGTTATCGATCTGTGAATCTGATTTAAATTTAGCAGAGTCTGAGAGGATCACGTTCATTTTGGTTATGTAGTCCTCCTTATTCATGACTACAACACCGGAACCTTTGTCCGGTTTGGAGATTGTTATTGTGGAATTGTTCTTAAGTTCCTTCAATGCTTCCCTGTGCTCATTCGTTAGACAAGATTTTTGGTTGATTGGAGTGTTTGCAAATTGCTGGGATATATCAACTAATTTGGCTTTGAACCATGCCTCATTCTCAGCTGATGTTGGAGTCAAATTTGAGAACTGGTTGTAGAGGTTATGGAAAGCCCTCTCGGACCTGTTTTAGCAAACATATTCATGGGAATGATAGAAAGGCAAGTGAGTCAATTCATTGATGGTATTACACTTTACAAACGATATGTCGATGATATTCTTGTCATATTACCACAGTCTACAGATATTAATCAAGTCAATGATTTATTTAATGCAATTCACCCGAATCTGAAAGTCACTTATGAGGAAGAAAACAATAATGAACTAGCTTTCCTCGACATCCTGCTCCATCGCCGTCCAGACGGATCGATCAGACGCAGAGTACATCGCAAACCCACCTGGTCGGGACAGTACCTCCACTTCACTAGTTTCTGCCCCATACAATATAAACGTTCTATTGTCAAAACTTTATTCGCTCGGGCAAGTAGAATCTGCACTGTAGATACATTGGACGACGAATTTAAGTTTATTACTGAGACACTTAAATTAAACGGATATCCTGAAACGTTTATTGGTCATCAGAACACAAATACGACGAAACTGATAGCAACGGATGTGCCCAAGAAACCAGTATACCTACAGTTACCTTTCAAGGGTGATCAGTGCATGAAAATTACAACCAAACAGACTGCAGCTGCAATAAAAAAGACCTTCAATGCAGCTAATCTGAGGCTTATCACAACAACTCAGTCGATCTCAGTTAACCCTATCAAGTCTCCAAGACCGATTCAGTCCAAATCCCACTGTATTTACCAATTCACATGTAACTGCGGAGAAAGTTACTTAGGTAGGACACATCGCCGATTGGAGGACAGGATAGGGGAACATATTCCAAGATGGTTAATCAAATCCATGATTCATCCACCTAGCCCGTCATCTCAAGATCGATCAAGAAACCCAGTCTCGTCCATTGCAAAACATCTAATGATGAGTGGTCATCAAATTGACCCAAAATCAGCCTTTAGAGTTGTGACATGTCACCACACTCACTCAAACTACTCGAAGCTATCTTGATTGGTCGGAAAAGTCCAACGTTATGTGTTCAAAAACAACTGTACGTTGACCTTTGTTTACCATGGTTCTAGTAAGTGAATGTCATGCTAAATAAGAAATTTTGACCTTATCTTCAAAACTGTATTTACACGAATAACATGTTGCTTGTATGTGACTGACGAGAAAGCACGAAATGGTACTATCTCACAAAATTTGTCTTCTCATTTCTCTGTTCAAATTTATCAAAGGGAACCACTGTTATTCAGGAAATTATAAAAAACGATGGAGTTGGTGGATAGGACATACATTATGGAAATCCTCAAACTACATCACGAGGCAAGCTCCTACTTGAAATCCTGAAGGGAAAACGAAAGAGGCAGACCACAGAACATATTTGAATTACTATTATTCCAGGTTAAGAAGGAATTCAATTAATGTGAAATGATTTTTCGAAAGAATCTTTGACATAGAATTTAAATATGATATTAACGAGAGATTAAACTATTCTGCCTATAGATGTTTTCAGTAACTACGCGATTTACAACAAATTGAGAAACTATTAATTGAAAAAATATATTTTAACGTTGGTAAAGTGAAATTCTGTATGAATATTGTTTGACTGCTTTAGACATTATGAGCTAAGGGTATAATGTTGGACAGATTCATCAAATAAAGACACAGTATATGACTTGAATATTCGTGATATCGATTTTAATTGGATGAATGAGCGATTAGAAATAATTGATGGTTATCACTATCGTTGATCATTGTGAAATAGTGGATATGAATAAATTATCATGCAAAAATTATACGATGTTGTTATTTCTAGTTAAGTGTGAATTCTAGAGAATAAATATGCATGTTGCTTTCCTTCATTGATCAGATATTGTGAAAATCCTAGTGATAGTGTAATTGTGCACAAAACTCTTACTAAAACTCAAACACAAAAGCAATGGACTTACACTCTAACCTGTTGTTAAGATGAAGCAAATATGTAATTTAGTAACTTAACTATCTGGTAGTTATATCGGTTAAATGTATTCGTCTCATAAATTGTGAACATGCATTTATTAGCCACTTAATGTATATCAACTATTGCCTAATTCAATAATATTGAGATTAACCTATCAACCAGATAAGTAAATCATATATAATTTAGTTTAGTTTGATATAGTTTTTGAATCAGCGGTTACATTATTTGTGGATTTGTTGTTGGTGCATAAATAAATCTTCGTCTGCAGTTTTGCCTTCTCCAGTGTATCAAACCATATCAGTCTTGTGATGTGGCAGGTAGCAGTTTTTTCCACATTAATAAAAAGTAGTAATATCGGTATCTTATGAAACCACAACATATATCTTCTTTCATAAAATTAAGGCTGTCGCAAAAATCTTTTGAGAAATTCGTATCATTTATATGGTGTATATTATACTACAGATGTGGGCCTACTAAATCCATATGATCGATTACTACTGACAAATGTATTTTTTTGGACAGTTATTAGTACTGTTTATTAAGGAATTGAAAATTTCCTTACTAAAACTATTCGACTTATATTAAAAAAACCATAAAAACAATTATTTTAATAAATAGTTAAGTACTCAAAGTAATCTATAAAACATCCCGCTTTTTCTAGCCCAATCGTTATTTAAAAAATTGTAATTAAACAGCAGTGTTAATTAAAAATTATTCACGATATATCTACCTCACCGTCTGATGTTATTATATTAACTTTGGAAAACCGTAAACGATTTGGGTCAGTGTCACTCCGCATAATCAAGCGATTGCATAAATTAGACAGCTCAGATTCTACGGCAACGTGAAAAACAGTTTCTCCTTGAGTAAATGATTCTAAAGTAGGATCACATTTTGAACAATCAAGAAGAAATAAAGCAGCTGATTCCCATCCTATTCGTGAAGCAGCCAAAAGCAAAGTGTCACCTGGATGTGGGTTCTTCAAGGATTTACTATTCAGTGCATAATACTGAACATCAGTAAATCTATAGTTCACGTTAGCACCATTTTCAATCAAATGACTAGCGAAGTCATATGAATTACTTGTCAAGGAGTTAGCTGTGAATTATGCAAAAAGTATGAATGGGTAAGAAACAGTACAAATTGATGAACTCCACCAAAAAAATATAAATTCAAGATAACAGATATACTGTAAGAGACTTGAAACTTATCCAGATCGATAAACTATTTACAAAGTGCTTGAGTATTATCAGAAAAATAGTCACAAAATTTAACCTTCACTAATTATATGAATTCGTTAATTAACCAATAAGTTAATTAATGTTAATATTTATTGTTGCTTAACGTACTATCAGTGTACAACTTCGAGTTGGTTTTTCATACTTTTTAAAGCTCATCGTTATAAAAAAAATATTTACTAGTTGTCCCTTAGTCATCTTGAGCATTTCAAATATTTTACTACTACTGAGGATAGGGATATTACAATAAGGATAGTTGGCTGCCAAATCGACTACCCAAGCATTAGACAGCTAGTGTTAACGACTAGAAAAATACCTGATTTCCATTATAAAGAGAAAAATTATCAACTTATCTGAATACGTCAAGGGTCTCAATCACGGATTTGTGATAAACTGATAAGTAATATCAATGACTTAAGTTTTATATCTTTGTTCATTTGCAACTTTTTCAGAGGAATAAATTATTATTTATTCAAATTATTATTTAATTTACATGCATGAAATAACGTATACAATAACTTTTGTGACATAATACATAATCTATTAACTTTTTTCATATATGACTGGCTAAATTCGTCAAAAGAGCTATTCAACATGAACATTCAAAGCTTGGTGGATTCGCGTAAAAGCCAGAATGAATGATGGTAATACAGGATATCCTTGGCGCCTTTGTAATGCTAGTCTGACGGTAAAATGTTGGGTCTAAAATTTGTTGGATGTTAGTTCACTCTGTGTTCAATTACCGTTGTTTCCAAAGGGCTGTTGACATCCAGTGTCAACATCATTTTAGTAATACTGTGGTTCACTAGTGTACGTTCGGGCACAACGACGAAATTCGAATCAGAGTTGTCATCTTATGATAATAGCTTTCGGTGGCTTGGTCATGCGTTAGGAATATCAAAACAGTGACATCCACATTATATAATAATTGGCGATGCCAGGATAAGGTGAGAAAAGAGAGATGGTAGGTTTATGACATGGCTTTATAGTATGAAGGAAAGCTATGTAGGATGTGCATTTGTGTGGCACAGATAAAGTCCCAGAAATAAACAACTCAGGGGCTTAATATATAATAAGATAAGGCTCACAATAGAAATTCCGATCGTGCTGCAGTTTTCTTTTACGTCCATAAAAATGGAAACTCACTCATCTAAAAGAACTGGTTGTATTTTAACTGGATTGTTTCCCCTATTGTATACTATTCTCATTCATTTTTATTTATCTATTTACCTAAATTTCTTTATCACGCTTCTCTTTCTTTAACGCTTCACAATTACACCTTATTTGCATGGCACGTATTTATTTCGGTGTTTAGTCGTATCAGTGTTTATGTTTATTAAATCAATCAATAAAATACACAAAGATCTGTTTAGATTTAAGCTTATTAACCAGATGTTGAAGGACAAGTGCATAAACCTCCTATCTAAATTCTTATATATAATGCAAATATTTCCTTACAATGGCTAGGTGGTTTATTACTATAAGTATCTAACAACGATAACAAAAATGATAACATACATTCAAATCCACAAATACTTGAATCACGAAAATTGAACTTTCTGACAAGCGCTAACCACAGTGGACATAATCCTTGATTATTTGGTAAATCTAAATTAGGTTTCTTGGAATGATTGATCAGCAAATTAAATAAACCCGAATTATTATGCAAAATAGATAAATGCAACGGTGAACTAAAAGAAAAATGATTTTTTAAACAGGTCAATTCTCTCATTCGTTGAAACAATAAAAATGTTGTTTACGACATTTCGTTATACAGTATTGTATTGTTACACAAAAAGTATACAGGCGGTCAATTAAATTTAAAAACTAAATCCATTTTGAATAGTTTTTTTAAGCAAGTATAATAGACAGATAATCATTCAAACCTCCAGAATAAACAGAAAAACACCACTAAACAGTTTACTGTTTGTTTGATCCTTTCTTTAAAGTATGTTTGGAATCATAAAAAGGAATTTGTTAATTTTCCATTGAAATTAGAATGTTTAGGAAGAGAATTACGAGTGGTATTTAATGAAAGATATGATTACTTTAATCATCATTTGGAAATACTTTAAAACGACAAAAAAGAGCTTCATTAGTGAGATTTTTGGAAATATACCTAGTAAGTTAGGAGGTGAAGTTACTCATATGGCTGCTAACAATTCGAAGTCTGTTAACATGTTCCAGTAGTGACAAAAACTGTAAAGACGTAATTTTAAAAATTCTGATACTTTGCATATTTATGTCCATAAAATTAAATGTTTATTACTTGTTAAGACACTTTCAACAAAAGCAACCAACAAAATGTCTACGAAAAACTGAGATATTATTTCATTGTATTTGTTTGGATGCCATGATTAAACGAAATATGATTAGTAGATCTGTTTAGTAAACATTAAAATAAAATATCATTATAAAACAGCCTCACGATTTAAGAATTTCGTCAGAAAATAGCTTACTTTCCATCTATATCTTGAGAAGAAAGATTAGCACTCCGTTGGATTAACGTTTTTGCTATATTTATCACAGCTTCTGACACTTCCTGTGCATCGGTTACTGCAAGGTTATGAAGTAGTGTGCGAGACGAGATTGAATCACAGAAGTCACACTTAATTTAAAACAAAATAAATTAATATTTATTTATTACTATCCAAAATCTAAACGAAAATATTGATTCGACAATGTTATATACGTTTATTGATGTAAAAAGGTTATTTTTCATAGAATAAACGAAACTGTACATAAACTATTCCTAACTTTAGGAAAAACTGGCTATAACTAAGAAATCTCTTACCTTGCGTTTTTACCAGCAAAATGAAGAGTTATAAGTATATGTATTGGGTAAACAAACAAGTAAGACCATATAGTACCTTCATTGTAAAAACAAACTGTATGCTTTCCTTATCTTCTTGAATGAGACTTTTTTTAAACTTTGAAACTTTAAGGAGAATAAATACCTGGTACAATCCCTAAGAGAATGCTAGGTGATACTAAGTAACCGAGGTTTATCATAGCGACAAAGAATGAATACAACATATTCATACTAATAACATAAAAAGATGATCCAACTTAGTAATCAACAAACAATCCATGAAGTGGACTTACAGTCATATAGTGTATGAAGAATATAGATACTACACGTCCACTTAAATTGAATTGGAATTGAAACACGTCACATGATCATTCTAAAACAAGGAATCAAATCGAGCTGATCCACTCTTCCATGAGACCTTCGGTCTCAAGCGCGAACACTTAACCTCTAGACCACTGAGTCGGCATCCAACTGTGCCAATGTTTAACTTCAGTCAACTCATTATATTGAAATTCAACAATCTCCATGACCCTATACTGATAAACCGTAATTTATCTGATCTTTTAATAAATTAGGGTTAAAATGTTTACAAACCAATTACATTGGAACCACGAAGCAAGAGAAATTGGACAGCTTCATATTGTCTTTTTCTAAACGCAAACTGAGTAACAGGTTGCTTTTCATCAGTAGAACCAATAAGTGCGTTTATATCTGCGCCTAGACCAATTAGTTTCTCAGCAAGCCCGAAATGTGCATCCTTTAGGGCCATATATAACGGAGATAGTCCATTTTCATTCAGTTGATTTACGAGAAGTTTAGCCTGGAACAAAGAATGTTAACAAAACTGATGAATTACAAGACTATAGTAATAGTAATAAAATTAGATATGTCATTTATGGAAGTCCAACTTTATACTAGTGTCACGGCACTTCGATAACTTATTGTTATTCCGTACACTGGGATATGAGAACACCTGTTACGTTACATTTTAACTTACAGGACGGTATTATCTGAATACTCTTAGTCGGTAAATGGGTCCTTAAGCACAAAAAATTCTCACAAACCTATATATCTTCTAAATTCCACTCGGAGTTTAATGGGCAATAATGATAGTTCGTTTCAGATGAAACTCGACAAAATACAACTAGGAAGTAGCTGAAGACCAGTTAAATAGTTCTTTAGTATTTCTTCTATCACGTGAACGGTATGTTATAAATGTTTACTAATTGTGTCTTTGAGTAATATTTTTAAAAGCATCACTGTTCTCTGGAGAGTTAAATAAGTAAAAGTACTTAACTTATAACTTCAGGGTACTTAAATTTCTTATATTACTGTAATCTATTGTTTCATGTGATTACCGTGTAAAAACTGTAAGGTCATAGTAACCTACCTTGCTAACTATAATTTAAAAGAGAAAGACAGTCACTGAGATCCCAGGTTGAAAGTTTAACAGACTTATTACATTAGGATGTTGCCGATTGTACAGTATTCATCTCTTGCAATAAGTACTAAGTTGACGCTATTACCGAAAAACTTAAGTTAGGGTAACAGTGTTAAGCTATAGCTGAACAAACTTTCGAATCCCAAAATATCTTTATTAATGATAGATGATCGCCTCGCAACTGTTGCTGCTACCTTAACGTTATGGTCAGGCTTGCTTAACGTGATGACTCAAGAGGGCTGTATTAGCTGGAACACATGTTTCTTTAGGCCCTACCATTCCAGGAAGGTTGGTTGTAGGACAGTAAGATTAAAATTGGAAACTTCAGATCTGAGGCCAAATTCGTACTGCTGACTGTATGAAGCTGTGACAGCAGTAAGGTGTTTTCCTCGGAGAGCCAGTATCTAAAGCGATCCTGCCTTCTCACACAGGAAGGGGTTTGAAAAGGTCGACCCTGAAAAAGTCACACTTCACCATAAACCTCGAATTTCTGTCTCCAGGGGTAAGGTTTTTTGAGGTATGGAGCTAGCAGATAGAAAACAACAGAGCCTTATGGACTAACGTCTGAGATTTTTAAGGATAGTGGCCAAGTTTTATCAGTTACATTATCTGAAATCTTAGCTAGAATCCTGAAACTGGCCGTCATTTTATCTTACTAGTCTTAACCGCCAATGGTCCCAGTTTTTAGGAAAGAACAAGCATCTTGTGATAACCACAGAGGGGTCGGTTTAACTTATATAGTGTCTGTAACATTAGTCTCAGTAATACTTCAAAGTCTAGCATCATGCTGGTTTCAGACATGATACCAAATATTTGCAATCTAGGAGGCTCTGGAACACAGATATACTTTTTGAAGTTCTACAAGCTTTATTTTTTGACCTTAAAGTGGTATTCGACTCCGTTGATCGTGAGGTTCTGTAGTAGTGTCTGTTTCTGAAAGGTGTACCAAAGGAGTACATTACCGTTGTATAGTTTTTCTACCCGAACACTACCAGTCGAGTCAGAGCTCATGGTTATTAAGAATAAAGGATTCTCTTACGTTAGTGGTACTCGACCATAAGTGCCTTTGAAGCATTAGTTGTTTATTCTGGGACCACCGAGTAAGCGATGTCTGGGTTAGGAATAGAGTATTAGTTAAGAACGGTGAATTGATTGATGAGGTGGTATATCCTCATAAACTGTGGTGGTTTGAACACGTGTTACATACTCCTGGCCACTCTCTACCACGATGGGCGATGTTACCTTCCACATCCATCAACCCGGTTAGAGCGCTAGACATTTGCTTTTCATCCTCTCGATTTCGTAAGCAACACCCACGCCACAATAAGTCAGTGAGTAGGACATCCCTGACAGTGGCTGTATACGCGTGGCCATGTGAGAGCATTTCGGGAGGGAGAGCTAACTCTCTCCACCCTCAGTCGTACCAGAGAATTTGGAAGCGTAATCACTCCACATTAAACTTCTGAGTCACTACGTTTACCTATCTCAAGAAATGAATCAACATAGTGTATCTTCATCTTTCCCATAGTTTACTTGGGAGGCAGATGTTCAGCCAAAGAAAGCCAGGTTGGTGTTGCGTTGCCACCGAATAAGTAAACGTAAATTAAGTAACCACACACTCTCGAGACATATATCTAGCGTTATGATCAATTGCTTAGTATCCTGTAATTAATCTGGTGGCTTCAGTAAGATACTCAATTGAACTTTATTTATGTAAAATCATCGGGTGTTCCACTTAGCGTCACCGAAAGCAAACGAGTTTCCGCATATATACACAGTTGCGATTAAAAACCACATAGATGAATAATATCTAAAACCAAATTGATTTGTGTATCTTCACTTTAGTGACATAATGCACTGTGGCAAATAAATTGGTCCCTAAATTTATAAATACTGAAACGATGTCGTACAGACTTACGATGTTTGCCCCCAAATGCCCTGGTACGGCCGAGAGTGGGGAGAGTCCGCTCTCCCTCTCGAAATGCTCTCACATGGCCAGCGAATATATAGCCTCTGCCAGGGAAGTCCTACTCACTGCCTTCTCGTGGCGGGGGTGTTCTTTACAAAATTAAGAGGACGAAAAGCGAATGTCCGGCGCTTTAACCGGGTTGGTGGACATAGAAAGTCCACCTAGGGGAGTTGGAAACCCCTGATTCTAAACCAATGGTGCACATGGGCTCCAGTATCCTGATGGAACGAATGGCGGACGAACCTGTCATTGGTCAACGGCTACCATGGGACTGTATCTCCTCACGATGCTCCACTGCCTTGTGGATCAGATCTTTCGGTCAAAGGGCCCCTAAGAAAACCATCTGCTTCAGTTTGAGCATCTGGGCAGTATCATAGCCCTCACACAAATCAAATGAGATTTGTGCGGCGCATATGTATCTGGTGCTTCCTTGTACCAATATCTATGTGTTTAAATAATAATAATAATATACAGACTTACGGTATCAGTAACCACATAACGTCAGTGAGGAATGCCCTTTTTGAACTATTTAACCCCTTAGTTTTGTAAGAAATTCAAAGAAATGAAACAAAAAATTGTATAGTCGTGTACTACAAATATAACAGACCATCATCGGCGTTCTCTTCTTCTAAGACAGAAATATACTTATCATCTCAATACAATATATTGGAGCCAATGATATAACCCCTTTTACAACTTTTAGGTAACAGGTGGATGCGCATTGCTGAGGAGTCCCATCCAATGCTTCCAAGTTTTCAATGGCGGTCTAGATTAGGTCAACTCATGAATTCAACTGTCTTCAGTCTTCAGTCTTCAGTAATAAGGATAGTAGGTTGATGAACCTGTGTTAATCCTGACAGATTTCCTTCCAGTGAAGGTCCAGCTTCTTTTTGAAAATGTTCACTGATGGTGCTGATACCACTTGTTCTGGTAAAGCGTTTCAGTCATTGACCACTCGATGAGAAAAACGGGACCCCACCTTTAGTTTATTAGATCGCGGTTTCAGAACCTTCTTGCTATGACCCCGGAGATTATTAGTGCTGGAGGGAGCAAAAAGGTAAGACATATTAACACCCAGACCATAATTAAAGATACGAAATGCCAGTATAAGGTCACCTCGCGTCCTACGATAAGGTAAGGGGAAAAGATTTAGACGTTTTAAACGCTCATCGTAAGGGAGTTTGGAAAGACCCTCTACTAATTTTGTCCCTACACGCTGGACACGCTCAAGCGATTTAGTATCCTTTATCAGACAAGGGCTAGCTGCTTGGATACAGTATTCTAAGTGTGGCCTTACATAGGTGGGATATAAAATTCGAAACATATCCTCGTCAAAGCATTTAAATGCTCTGCGAAGCGACCATAGCGCACGATAGCCTTTGGAAGCAACCGCATTGCAGTGCGTAGTAGTTTTTAAGTCGTGACTTATAATTACTCCTAAGTCTTTATGCGCATGAACACGTGGCAGAGATGTACCATTAATGGTATAGTGGTAACTAATATCGTGCCCGATGTGCATGAACACGCTCTTCCTGGAATTAACTTCCAGGCCCCAATCATGAGCCCACCTAACTAATTCGTCTAAATCTGCTTGTAGATAACAACGATCAGTCTCATTTCTTATTGTTCTCCAGATTTTAACATCATCCGCAAACAATAACGTCGACGACTTAAGTAATAAAGGTAGTTCATTAATATACAGAAGGAAAAGTAAAGGGCCCAAGATGGTGCCTTGGGGTACACCACTTCTGACCGGTTTCCATTCGGATAGAGTTCCATTGACTCTCACTCTCTGTCTGCGGTCACATAAGAAGCTTCCTATCCATTCCTGTATAGCACCTGTTATACCAAAGCTCGAGAGCTTTTGCATAAGACCTAAGTGTGAAACCTTATCAAACGCTTTGCTAAAATCTATAAATATCACGTCGACAGACTGGCCGTTGTCTAGGGCAGCTGTCCAATCCTCTCTCGCAATGAGTAAGTTAGTCAAGCATGAATGCTGGTTACGAAACCCATGTTGCTCGGGAGTTAACAGATTGTACGAATCTATGTGGCTCAGTAGCTTAGCTCGAGTTAATTTTTCAAGTAACTTAACTACTATACTGGTCAGGCTAACAGGCCGGTAGTTAGATACTATCCGTCTCTGACCATCCTTAAATATAGGACTAACTATGGCGTCTTTCCAGTCTCTAGGTAGTTGAGCCTGTGAAAGGGACATGTTGAAGAGCATCGTGAGCGGTCTTGAGATAATGTCCGCAAGCGACGACAGCAAACGTGGGTGTAACCCATCGGGGCCCGGTATCTTACAAGGTTTTAGGTTAGTTATCAAAGGAAGAACTATATCCTCTGTCACGTGCAAAGGTCCTATGGCTGGTATCTCATTGTCAACGGGACAAGTAGTTGTAACACTACACGTAGAGTAGACTTCACTGAAATAGTTAGCAAATAACTCCGCTTTCACTAGATCAGATTCAGCCAATAAAGCTGAATTTTCGCTTAACAGTAATGAGGGGATACCATCACTACGTTTCGTCCGCCTTTTAACGTACGAAAACAGTCGCTTCGGACAGGTACGGCTATCGTATGCCAACTGTCGTTCGTAAGCCGTGCAGGATTTAGCTATGGTCTTTTTACATATATTCCGGATTTTTTTATATTCGCACTTAAATGATGCCTGACCTGTTGACAAGAATAAGTCCCGGAAGTGTTTCCTACGCTTCAACAGCTTCCGGGTTTCCTTATTAATCCATGGAGGGCAATATGATAACTTACATGCTGACCATGGGATAAACGGTTGAGTTACGGATTCGAACGTAGACTTAAACCTATTCCATGCATCATCAATCGATCCATCAGCATCGACCGACCAGTCAATTGAGATAGCATAGTCCCTGATTGCCGGAATATTAGCTCTCCAGATATTAGGACGGGGTGGAGCTGATGCAAATTCTATACCATGTATCCGGAACTTAAAGGAAAGTACGACATGGTCACTATTCACCAGTGAGGGAAGATGTTGAATGTCAACGATATCTTCACAGTGGTGTGTGAGGACAAGGTCTATCAATGACGGATTATGTTCCAAGTCTATATGCGTCGGCTTAACGATACATTGTACAAGTGCACATTGAATAATTGATGACAGAAGGACGCTATCAAAACCCCCACCTGGAGCTGTGAGCTCTATCCAGTTTATATGGGGTGCATTGAAGTCTCCAACGATGAGACAACATTCTGCTTTACTCCAAGAGCAGACGTGTTTTAGGATAAAGTCGTCAGCGAGACAACACGGACTACGATATATTCCTCCTATCGTCACTAACCCGTTTCTAGACCTAATTATACAACATACTACCTCACACGTACCACTTACATGCGCCTCCGATATGATCGAGTTAATGCGGAAGTGGTCCCTAATATATAATATTATGCCTCCTCCCTTGCGACTTCTAACTCTATCACTTCTGACACAGATGTAGCCTGAAATGACTGGAGAACAGTCTATATCTACAGTGAGCCAAGTTTCGGTGATAACAATTATATCCGGATTTAAGTCGTCTACCATCAAACTTAGTTCAGACATCTTATTCCGAAGACTACGAGCATTCGTATAACACACATTTAGGGTGTTTTTGGAGACATGCGTTCTACCCACACAGGTCTCGGAAGCATTGGCTTCCAAGACCTGACTACCCGAAAACCCTTAATCGTAAGGTTCGCTTCACCGTTTAGCCTTCGCGTTTTTAACTCTGTTAGGGCATTCTTCCACTTGATCCGATCCTCAAGTGGCCAGTCAGGTCGAATACGAATGTTTGAGTCACGAGTTTTGCGTGAGTTATTTAGTAATACGTCCCTTTCCTCAAAATTACCGAGTACTAATTTGAGGATCCTTCTCTGTTGGGTTTCGCCTCCAACATACTTACCAAGTCTGATGACTTTCGATATATGTACCCCTGGGACCTCCTCTGGCAGTATATTTCTGATGAGAGATCCGACTAACTTCAGGTCGTGGGCATGTCTCTTAGCGGGATCGGTGTCTTTCGATTCTGCCAAGTTCCAGATGATTACACTAGGCACCTGTTTAACTGCCTTAAAAGTCGTGTTCACGGCCTTTGACCGTGATGTCAGATCCTGCCGGTTAGCTACCGGCTTCTTGCTATTAGCTTTCTTTATCACAGTGTCATGTGGGTCAAGTGAGTTACTCCCAACAACATTTGGTGAAGTTAGACTATTTCCATCCACAACAGTATTAAATATTTCCTTACATTTGGACTTGAGCGGAATTGCCTGATGCTCAGGACGTGAGTCCAACGATGACTTACCGACTATACGCGCGCTTTCTTTGGGTATTTTTCCGTCTCTTTTGCGTTTCCGCGTAATCCATTTACCACTATTCTCAGCATCCAGATTGGAACTATTCTGGACGATAGTGGTTCTAGCCGGGTCCTCAGTCGCTGCTAAAGCGACTGGTCCCTCAGTACTAAATGGCATGGCTTTCACTGGTTGTACCGGAGTACAAATTTTTGCTTCATGTTGCGAAATTGGGTGTCTGGTACCTGCCATGGCAGCATTTACGACACTGATACAATCTTCATTATCAGTATCCATGTTGCCGGCAGGGCCTACTTCGACCTTTTTAGCTAACGCTAGAAGGCTGATGGCTTCCTGAATGAGTAATGTCTTGCTTGAGCAACAAAACATACAGAGCCAATGAGAATTTGGTTTCGAGCACCTTTTATAGGCAACAGGGCTTAAGCGGGTGCACATTTTATGAAACCACTTCTTACAATCGTCACACTGCATCCCTTCTTCCACGGGGAATAAGCAATATGGCTGTCCACACTTGTGTACAGAGCCGACCATCTTAGAATAAAGCAAAATGATAGTCAAGGTAGATATGTAAGATAAATCACAACCTTATCAAATAAACAAGCCTCAGTCGACCAAGAATGCTTTGATGCAGTAAATACACAAAAGCAGGATCAAAACACACAAATACAATGTCACGTTAACTGAAATAAATTCAATTAAAGTGTAAACGGTAGTTTTGATACGTAATTTACGATCAAAACAGTGAATTAAACTCAACGTGAAACAATACCACTGTCCTTTTAAATAGCGCGCGTTGGCAATATAAAAAGTAATTCATTATCGAGATAGAGCTTTACTTTGTTAAGCAACGGTTAATTTTCGGGAGGTGATAAAAACTTGAGGAGCAAACCATACAGTGTGGTGTGACTAATCTACGATAACGACTGACTGACATGGTTGTGATAGCATATGAACTTAACTAAAATTAGGCGGAACACGAGTTATCACAGGATTCAAAAGAGTGTGCTCTGAAGACATCGAAATGCTATTGCAGATAGCCACTTGTGATGGATGTAAATTACGAGAAAACTGGCATCTGCATTGAGATGATATATAAGCGTTTTAGCTGGACCATCTCATAGAAAAATTCATGGCAACTCCCAATAAAAACAACCTTCAAAAAAATGAAATAACTGGTCACTAGAAATTATTGTAAATATAAACCATGCAAATGACAGGTTAAATAAAATACCTTTGGATGATCAACGTTAAGCAAAGATAAAACTGTGTCATCTCTTCCAAGTTCAATTGCTGAGTGTACAGGGAACTTGGAATACTTCTCGAGAAAAGATTGCAGGACAGGGGCAGAAACTGTAGAAATTTCTTCCACTGAAAAATTAGGCTGAAAAACTTGATAAATTTTAACCGAATAGCGTACCCATACACCTGAGATGAACAAAAAGCAATGGTCTAACAACCGAGTAGCTCTTAATCTATACGAGGACGAATATAACGACAAACAGTTTTCTCTTGAAACTAGAGGAATTAAAGCGATTTCACACCTACAACTTTAGAAATAGGAATACTTACTGGGTAAATAAGGAAGGCAAGCAAAATTCTCGTGCAAGTGTCATTAAATCGGACAAACATTGTGCTTCGTACTCTTCCAATACGCCCCTATAAGCCCAATGAATAAATGCCTCGCATACATTTTGACAATAACCTAAAGAAACTAAAACAAAGTGGAGTCTATCTACCTTGTATATTTATATATTCTACACCATCCTTTGTATAAACATTCCAAACTCCTCCTCTGGCATCGAGAACAAATTTGTGTCCTGGAACAAGAACGTTCGGTGTTTTGAATAGTACATCACTATCATAAGTTATTAGAGAGGCCATGTTGCAGCTACCTGTATTTCGTATTTAAAAACAGACTCTCAACAAATGCGAGTATATTCCCACAAAAATTTTGTTTCCTGTCGCCGAGTTCTGTCGTCAGCATTTCATTCTCTTTTTCAAGCTTTTCAACCCTGTCTCTAAGTTTCTGGTATTCTAACTTAATATTAGATATATAAAAGTCCGAAGCCATAGGAAAAGAATAACCTTGAGGTTTAAATACTCACAACTCACTTCAATCCTCAATACCTATTTGATAAGATATTGTGAATCAAATGGTTCAAATGGTTGAGGACGGAATAGAAGAAGCTTTCGCTTAACGAACTTCCATGTCTTGTAGCAGTGGGTCACCAATACCTTCAGGCAAAAACCTAGGTATATTAACGATAATAGAGGAAAAAAGAATTTGTTGAATCAAAATAATCTGTTATCCTTAGTCCTTAAGAATAGGTCAAGTTTCCTCTTACAGGACTCCTGAGAAGTCACTTGGACCAGTTCATTCGACAGCGAATTCCAGCATTTGAAAACTCTTGCGTAGAAGAAGTTGTCTGCAGTCTGTTCTGCTATGTTGGATCTCCAGTTCCTGGGTGTTACCTCTTATGTTAGTGTTGTGACTAAGCTTAAGAAGATGTTTAAGGGGATGACCAGAAGTAATAACGAGTTCTTCACTTCCACCTTTAGATACTACTGTATGGTTCCAGGTCATTTGTATCGTTCAATATGGTCTTTTTGGCAGCTCGTTTGCACAAATTGTATCAAATTTGATAGTGCATTGTGAGGTTCTATCATTGAAACTCCTCACCATGGTTGAGTAAGAGGGTTAACATCCTTCTCCGTAAAAGGAGAATGTGTAATAGATTTAGGTTACTGGGGACTGATGAGAAAGAATCTCAGTATCAGAAAGCTCGGAATACCTGCGCCTCGACCCACCGTAATTCTAGAAAGCTGTACAAAGAGAAAATTGTTAAAGAATCCATAGAATGTCCTAAACGCTTGTGTTCTTACATAAACCAAAGGACAAAAAGAAGAAATGTTCCTTCACTATGTGGAGATAGCACTGTCTCATCATTAGTAGAGGACGACTTTGGCAAATCTCAAGTATTCTCAAACTACTTTAGCAATGTATATACCATAGAAACACCCTTCCCATCAGTCTATGACAATCCCCCCACACAAATGCTGGACAGCGTGACTATTAAAGAACTCGATGTCTTTGGTCTGCTAAGTAAGCTTGACATCGGCAAATCCACTGGAGCTGATGAACTGCAACTTAGGTTACTAGAGGAATTGGCTAACTTTATTGCGAACCCTTTAAGTATATGTTTTAATCTCTCCGTAACCCAGGGTCGTTTACTAAAAGACTAGAAGAACGCCATAGTAAGTTCTATCTTCAAAACAGGTACAAAAGCCGACTTATTAGCATAACTAGTGTGGTTGTTGAAATCTTAGAAAAGATTTGAAACGAACTGTTTAAGTACCTCGATGAAAACCGGATCCTTTTGGAGAAGCAGCATGGTTTTAGAATAGATTATTCTTGTCTCACTAACTTATTAGTCGCTCGTGAAAGCTGGTGCGCTCTTAAAGACCATAAGTTACCTGTGGACTTAGCCTACTTCGATTTCAGCAAAGCTTTCGACAAAGTTCTACACAAGCGGCTGTTATATAAGCTAAGAAATGTCGGGATTGGAGGCAATCTAATGATGCGGATAAACGACTTCCTAGTTGGGCGTCAGCAAAGAGTACGGGTGAACGTCAAGTTGTCTGTCTGGGAAACTGTACTTAGTGGAGTCCCCCAGGCAACAGTTTTGGGGCCATTGTTATTCCTCTTGTACGTAAATGACATCTCTCGTCTACTCTCGTTATCAGTCTTGCCATATGCTGATGATGTCAAGATATGGAGAGCGATACAAAGTAATGGTGATAGCTTAGAACTTCAAAACGACCTGGAGAAATTATCTGAATGGTCCTAAACCTGGCAATTGCCGATAAACAATTCCAAGTGTATTGTGATTCATATTGGTCATCAAGGTACGTATACATACACTATGAATAACGCTGAATAACGCGACTTCATTACAGTTTTCAAATTGCTTAGTGATAAATTTGCCCTCATTTTTCTTGTCTTTCAAAACATAAAATTTACGAGGACACTCTGGAAAAGTTCACAAGCCCACGACAAATTACTTGTCAGCTGACTACCGACTTTCCCATCGAATCATCAACGAGTGGAATTCATTACCTCAGCATGTGGTTGAGGCTCCATCCGTCGACTCTTTCAAAAGAAAGCTGGAGCAGCTGAAACTGTCATTGCCAGGACTAACACAGGCCATCAAGCCTCCTGTCCTTTCCAAAGGGAAACTGATTTATTAATGAGTGCGCTTGTTTCAGGCAGTCGAATTACTAGAACCAGTATCTAGTACATTATATGGAAGCAGATTGATTCTTACACTCTTAGCAATCAAGAGAAGCGACTCCAAGAGAAAATGCAGACTCTGAAATGTAGTTAGTTTTTTTTGTTTTATTTCCAGTACAATTGCACACACCATAAGTTGAAGCCGTCAGATGTAGTATCCAGTGAATTACACCTTTTCAACTTACGCTTGAATAGCTCAGATGTTATGATAACTCCATACACAATCCAATATAGTCGTTTGACAACACTTCACCAGTAACACCTTCTATAATTGAATCGCGCCCACCCAGTGAAATCAAAAGTCAGAAGCGAGAAGATCGGAAGATATACTTGATGGATTACCAATATATCGAGAAGTGACTCATTTAAACTGGCTAGTGATCGTAGGAGACGTTGAGCATGCCATGCCGAATCGTGATCTGATGCGGATGCATGACCGAGCGCCTTCAGCTAAGTGAGTCCATTAAAACTAATGTGGTCACCATCTAATGTCGAACGCTTACAGAGCTATTGATTTTGGGATTTATTTACCTATACAGAGGGTTGAGCACCAGTTAATCAACTCCACCCTGCATAAAACATTCATGCTAAAAAACGCCAACCAAAAAACGTCTAAAACATTCGAAGATAGGACATCAATGAAACGCAACCTGGATTTCTTAAAGATTGATCTTGTATAAAATGTCACATTGACTTCTTTAATTTAGTCTATTCTAAACGTATCCAAGGATATCTAGTCTTAATGCTATACTTGGACATTTCTAAAGCCTCCGACATGGTTAACCACCAACGTCATATAGATAGATAAGCATCTTACTGAGTCAAAAATCCTCTCCTTCCTTGGCTTTATTCCTTACTCAACCACTGACACCAAACAGTTAAAATTACCTCTTCACTGTTTAAATAATTTGGAAAACGAAAATTTGGAAATTCCATAGGAAGTACTAGTGGAAAATCCTATTTTAACATTAAGATTATATGTACCTTGTAGGTGTGTGTTTTAACATTAAAATAGTATTTCACATGGGTCAGTTTCCTTGTCTACGTTTACCGCATAGGATTTTCAGCGTAACTTTATGCTGTTATATCCAGTACATTTAATCGTTCTCCTTAGTAACTTTATTTTTAGTCTGTGTTACACAAGTCCGAATAATGATAATTATTTATTGATGGTATGAATTTTTAATAAAGTCAAATGTAAAACATGAACATTTTGTACATACTTAGCGAAAATTTACTACAGTCCACTTCAACATGTAATAATGAGTGATACAGAAGTTATTTGCAAACAAGGTAATAAGCCAAGCATTGGTATCAATTATTGTAGTTCCTGTTTCAAGCTATTTAAAGTAATATCAGGTTTGTTTCCATGATCTTCAAATTATTTGGAAAATTCTAAAAATCCTGTATTCCTTTTTTTCAAATATCATTAATAACGGAATTTTAATGTTTTTCCTATTTATCTGTCTAGCTGCCATGTGTTGCACTGATATGAAGTGTAGCAACATACACCATTGAGAATTGTCTCGAAATCATCTTTGTTTCGTATCGGCTAATTAATGTATACTTGCATGAAATAAGTTGTGTTGGTGCATATTTATTTCCTCACTTGTCTTCTTCTCGATTTGGACCAATTCATCACTCTATATTTTTATTGTATATCCAGCCTTGTTCTTCCTATTTATTCGAATAATTGTCTCTTTTTATACTACAGTCTCGAGCAAGACCTTTATCTGTAGATATCCATTTTCATTCAGTTTGTCCATACCTACGTCCGTTGGAAAGTAAAGAAGTAAACGCTTACGAAATCTTTTCTAGAAACTCTGAGAAATATTATCTTTATGTTGAATCGTATAAAATTAATGAATATAAAACCTACTTATTGTCGAGTAAGCGAAGTAAATAATGAAATTAGCCAGCTTCTCATAGTGTGATTCATTTATTCCACTTGCTATGTCTAAGAGTTTTAGTCATTTACTGTTAATAATTCTGTGTAAAATGTCTTCTTTTTTTTCTGATACTTTATCTCAATATTTCAAACAAGTAATTGTAATAAAAATAGTTTCTTCACTTAGTACACTACTAATAGTATCTAATTTTTTCTCCTAAAGAATTATCCGATCTACTGTATGCACGAGCTAATCTATTATCGAAACAACATAGTCAGTCAATAATTCAAGCTTACTATGATTTGAAAAAAGCATTGCGTTATTGTCAAAATCATTTAGAAAGTTACAATTTATTACATCAACTTGAAATTATATCTTCCAATAAACAAGAAGAAGCTATTGAATTAATGTTGAAAAATCGTTTCTTTGATTCATTACATTCAATCACTATAGCGATTTATGCTCAACCAGAGAATATTTCATTATATTTTGATAAAGGAGCAATTTTAAGGAAACTTGACCGATTAACCGAGTCTCTAGATTGTATTATGCATGGAATAAATTTATTCAATACATGGAATGATACTGATAAGAAGAACTCAGCCGATCTGTACCAATTAGGGAGAAATCAGTTATTTCTTACAATAAACTCTTATGCAATAAAGCTATCAAAACAAGAGAAATATCAAGAATCAAATGAATTGATTCGTCAACTGTTGGAAGTGGATTCTAAAAATTATAGATTACTGATTTTATCTGGTGATTGCCAATATTTCATGAAGAATTATGAAAAATCTCTTAAAGAATATGAAAACGCAAAATCAATAATTAGTAAACTATTGACCGATTCTAACCATTGCATTTGTAATAACAATATGATGAAAATTCCCGAAAGTATTAATTCAATCAATGGAAGAATCTGTTTAACTTGTTACCAGTTAAGTAAAAATCGAATTAAACAAAGTGATTGGTCAAATGCAATAAATTATTTAGATCGCTGTATTTGTTTAGCACCATTCCAATCAGAATTTTACATGACACGTGCATTAGTTCATTATCAATCAAACCATACCAAGCATTCATGGAATGATATATTAATTTTCATTTATTTGAATTTAAGTGATTGGGCATTGTTTCAAAGAACAAACGGTAAATGGTCTATATATCCAATGTGGTATCAAACTATTGTACATGATCGATTCCTTAGTCAAGTTAATGAACAAATCGGTCCATTAATTCATCGTCTCACACCAAAATATATTGATTTGGTAAAAGTTGCGAATTCTAAGGAATGTGAATTGTCTTTACTAAGGAATTTAAGAAGAATAATTAATGAAAACAAATGTGCCACATGTCAGAGAGCCAGTCATTCTTCAACTACCAAAATTACCTTTCCTACTAATGGTAATCAACAGACGTTAGAAAATCCGATTGATTGGTTGCATAATCGTGTATCGTTTAATTTATTTTCAGAGCCTAGGGATGACTGTGTTGCTAAAATGCCTTTCATAAATTCAAATGATATTACTCAGAAAACGTTTACTGATGTATGTGAATATGAGTACAAGCAAATCAATGCCAAAATTAAAGAAATTCGTCAGAGGAATTTTCCCAGACAATTCATGCACACGAAATGAGCTCCATTATTCTAACTGTAATTGAATGCTGTTATGGCTATTTTGGTTGTTGTTTATTTATTCCTCATTTAGTAAAATTATCACTTTGATGTTTCAAGATTTTTGTTTATTTATATCTCTTTTTCGGTTTACGTCTTATTCAGAGCAAAACAAGTAATTTATTTCTCAATTTTTAGCAGTAAACTTATTTCTTAAACAGTGAAACGACATCGAAGTTGTTTTGACGAGACCACTGTTGTTAAATAACAAGGTTTTACGAATTATCAATTATGACAAATTAGTAAATACTTTGGATCCATGCACAAGAATAGCTGATATTTGTCTGTGAGATATACTCAAGATTATCGTACAGCCTGGATTCCATACCTTCAACCACCTAACATCACACAAAGAATACTACATTGATGTGCTAATTGAATTGATTGGAATACAGCTTAACCGATTGTATCTCAACACTGGAAATGTTGCTTGGCTCTACTTAAATACGTCTTTTAAGTCTTATTTATCTCGATTAGATGAATAAATAGACAAATATTTACTATGAGCATTCTTTGGAATGATACGTCATAATATTGAACTCCTTTCTGGAAGTCACACTGAACATCTCGTTCATTGGATGGACCCTCTAAATTAAATAAATGGGATGTTCTGATCATCTGAATATAAACAGGTCTTCAACAGTAATGAAACAGTGTAGGTATTTTTCTTGTAAAACTTTGACGAGTAACAAGAAGCCGCTGTTCTGGTGAACACTCCAATCATGAAATTTCTGCAGCAATTTGGAAGACTCTTCCGGTCTCCCACATTTTCCGGACATTCCATGTACCTATAAAAATTGTTGCTCTGGTTGTAAGAAGGTGCATCGGCCTCATGACTTCCGAATGAACTCGGCTTTCATCGTGAGACGTCATAATTATTCCTTCTACTCCCAGGGCAGAGTTCAAATGGTTTGAATGATTTTTTCTGGTTAGCACTTTTTTAGCGAGTTGATTTTCTACGGGATGGGGTCGCTAACCTCATGCCCGACCCTCCTCCTTTACCCGGGCTTGGGACCGGCAGCAACCCCTAGAGGAGCTACAGGCGGAGTTAATCATGAAATTGGTCATTTTTAAAATCCACGTATTGGAGTAATGTGACTTTTGTACAGTAATTTTCATTATTGAGTTTCAGTACATTTTATACTTAAAAATTCATTCAGTACGATATTAGTTTATTTGTACTTCAGTGTAAATTCATCGTACAAACTAACTCACAACGATTTCGCCTTCCATCGACAATCGCTCAGTTACATCAAACTCTGTAATCAATAATCGTTAAATTTGATCAGCGTATAATTGAATTAACCCTAATGTAAATAAATCTTTCGGGATCTTATCAGGTAAATCTTCCTTATAAATTCGTCTTTTGAAGTAATCGGGTTTAACAGAGTAAAAAGCTGTGGGATCTTGATTCAAATTATTGTTGCCTTCACCGAAAGCGTACCACACAGGTCTGCGTTCCGTGGAGAAACTGTGTTTTCGTGGTTAACATTTGACCACGGAATTCTGTAAAACGTAGGTAATAAGTACTACCGAAATCATCAATGGACTGTTTAATTATCATTACTATAAAGATACATATATATCTAATGAAATCATATACTGTATAAGATATCAATAATGATAGAAATTATTTACAAATGTAGTCAAAAATCATTATCTCTAGACAAGCGAAAATCTACCTTCTAGATTCCCACAAAGATTGTTTTTTTAATTTACCAATTAAATCTGTCTAATTATTTTAATATATATTGAGCTTAGCTAAAATAATTTAGCTGATGAAAAAGTATGATAACTGCTTTATATTGTTACATAATATTATAAAGTAGTATGAATACCGAATGAACAATAAATTCATTTTGTATAATAAAAACCCATTAACAAACATTCGTTATCTGATAAGCAGTAGGTCTAGAAACTAAATAAACTTGAATGAAAACTCTTTATTTGGCATATATAGAATACAAAGTGGATCAGTGAATCGAAACTGTTAAGTAAAGGGTCAATTAAACACTTTTCAATCCTTGTGCAATTAGTTATCAATAATTTATTTGTGAAATTTTAAAAAGGCAAATCAGAATAACAAGATAGAGAGGAAACCAAAGACTGAAAATGATAACCTGAAGATTTGTTATTTGTTCGACTCATACAATATTTCAATCATATTACAAATATCACTTCCTCAAATCGACCACTTTGAAATGACAGTCTGATTAAGACTAACTCATTTTGTAGTTTTCTTTTGTTATGTGGTATTTGACAAGTTGAAAACTAAATTTGTTCTCTTGGTCACTGATGCATACTTTTCCAATCCTTGAAAATATCTAAGTATTTATTTTGATTTTTAACCAAATCAAGTGGAAGTCAATCAAGGAAATGTACATTCCCTTTCATCTTCGTGAGGTTTTGATCATGTGATCACTTTAGGATGTTATTGTTGTTACAAAAAAAATGTTATTAAAGCTGGGAGTGTGTTCAAGAAGTTCGATACGAATAGGTTTTTATTGAAAATGACAAATTGGACATCATTCTCAATGACACTCTTGCTTGAAAATTAGTCGTAGAATCTTAATTCCTTGGGTTTGATCAATCCTGAGAAGCTCTAGAAATGACCAAAACAGATATGTAGTCTTTCTTGGTTTTCACTAGTTCTCCAACTGACGTGTTTCTGTAATATGAACAATTTTAATATATATATATATATATATATATATATATATATATATATATATATATATATATAGAGAGAGAGAGAGAGAGAGAGACTTTTACAGGTTATTCAAATGACTTGACTTTTTTTATCTATTTTTTCAAAACATTTAGTGATTCCTATAATTTCTCTTAGTTCTGTTTCTCTTTTCGGTGTAGGTTTTTCTTGGTTGTGAAAATATTCAGTAATTCTCAGAATTGACAGATGATTCCCATTTAAATATTAAAAATTAAAGACATGAAGTTCAGCGAAGGAATCTCTTTTCAACGAATTTATTATCAAGCTATACAATCGTATTTATGTATGAAAATTTAAAGCACTAACTCCATGCGAAAATGTGAACATGAATAATCAAGATGACGTAATGGAAAGATTAAAATACTAAATTACGTAATATGAGTAATAACACACTTGAACACCTAATCGACTGTAATCGTTCTACGGATCCACAGTTTGATTTTAAGGTTGTTTATATGATTCGTTCAAATCTAACTAGATTTCTTCGTATCCATCTCTTAAAAATAGCCGAAGCTCTTACCATCCATGAGCTCAAACCAGAACTATGCGCACAAAAGAAGTACGTCTTATCGTTATCCTTACCGTGGTCTTAATTAATATTATTATTCTATTATTATTATTACTATTATTATTATTATTATCACTGCATTCTCCTTTACTTATGTCTTATATTGTCATTATCTTATTCATGAATACTCACAATATCACCTTATTTATTTTTACATCTATTTGACCTTTAATTATCGTAACAAAAAAACATTTTTTTTTCATTTTAATCATCGTATTCACTAAATCTATTGTTATTACTCGTATTACGTAATCTAGTATTTCTATTACGTCATCTGGGTTATTCTTGTCCACATTTCCTCACAAAATTAGTACTTTAAATAAATAAATAAATAAATGAATATATATATATATATATATATATATATATATCGATTCAAATCATCCACCTGAGCTGCAAATCTTCTCCACCTCCTCAAAATCCGCTATACTAGCGAATCATCACGTGATTACTTGTGAACTACTATGAAAGGTAATTCTCTGAGTTCTAGTTGGAAACCGTAACCGATAAAATTTAAACATGCCGGGGATGAAACAAATATTACTTATATCAATGTATGATGGTTGCACAATGTCAAGATCTGGCTGACTCGTGGATCCCAAGAGAGTGATCTGAGGGATGAGTGCCTAAGACCATCAATGAAGGCTATGGGTTCGACCGTTGGTTTAATTGTGGATGTATGTCACTGAATAGTTTCATACTAAAACGAACATCTGTCCAGTACATCCTGATTTTTGATGGTCATCTAACCAAAGTCAGCCAATAAGGTAAAGCCATATATCTACTCACCCATTCGCCAGTTATAGTTTTATTTGTATTTTACCTAATTTTACTATAATGAATTGTAATACGTGAAATCCCATTGATTCTCTGTTATCGTTCTAAGCAAATATCGTGATGCTTGAAGAAATTTTAAGATGTAGATCAATGGAGTGACCATATATTACTGGTTATCAGGTGGCATCAGTTCAATCTGTTCGTCTAGTTTTCGGTTCTAGTTGCAAGGAATGCGAATGAGAAAGTGGAAAAATGGAAGCCCTGTATAAACACACTTCAGAGTCAAAATAAACTTATATCACCCTTTTCTTTCAAGATTCAAATATAAAACGCACTGCTTCTTGCAGCAATCTATTATAAAATAAATCAACAGCCACGTGAAAGTTTTTTTAAACAACACGTAAACGTGACAAAAAAGAAATATGAATTGGGTTCTATTAAAAGTTATGGATTTCAGTTGGAAAATATAAACGTTTTCCAGTAATTAACCATCAAAAGTCACTAGTGTAGTAAAAATGATTTTATTTTTTTAATAGCATCAGGTTTAAAAGTGCAATATCACTTTCAATTAAGAATAACACGTCACTCATTGTTCAAGATAATTCTAAAACTAATAATAAGTACTATGAACCAGGAACTTGTATTTTGAATTGATAAATGAACTAATAGTTCCATTAACAACTATCTGATTGAATAGTGTATCTATTCTGGTATCTATGCTTTTTACCAAATCATTTACAATATTTAGATGAACCCCTAAAATGATTTTGTGTATGGTCTACATAGATGAAGGCCTGTAATACGATAAGGGAATCGTGTCTTGAGAAACCAAGTGGTTTTTCATGATATAATAGCTTTGAACTAATGTGTTTTTCGAAAGAATTGGTCTTGTTTATTACAAAAACAACCAATCGAATATTGTCTAGTCCCTGTCTGAATTTTATCCACCAATTTATAATCCACCTATTGGTTAAATAGTCAACGATCGTGGGAAACTAAATTCAACTTTAGGTGGTTAGGAGTTGGAAGACATTAATCTTGTCAAATATTAGTCCCCTCAAGATTTTCAGTATATCTTGTCAATGAATGTTATCTATAGCTGAGGATATGTCGGGGAAATTCGTCATATTTTCAGCAACTGTATTAAAACAAAACACTTTAATGTCAGATAGTAATAAAGTCTTAGACCTTCAAGCATCTGATTTCTAATGAAAATGTATGACTAAATAAACCAAACGTTTATTTCTGCATAGAAAAATCTTGGCCTTTTTTACAAAACAATAAAATATACTTTTCAAATTAGAAGAGATTGGAAATTCATTTAAATGACTATTTCTGTTATTGTTATTAAGTTCAATAATATTTATTAAAATAAAATAATGTTAAACTTTCAATGATAACCAAGAAAGTAATTTTATGTAAAACCAAAAAAATGATTGATGACCGGAAGTTAATTCATTACTTTGTGAAATAAAAATCTACATTACTTGATGTTAAAAATAAAATAAAATAAAAACGTAATCATGCAATTTACCAGCAAATATAGCCAATGACCTTTCTCTAGTCATATTGTTTAGCATGATAGCATTTTCAGTTCTATCAATAATCAAAATATAAGTACATAAAATATCATTTTGAATACCCTTTGAGCATTTTTTTTCGACTTAAACATATAACATGATAGTAACTATTAATTAAGAGTTCTTATTGGAAAAATTCTTAAGAAGATAAATTTAGGTTTTGCTTAAAGTAAAATAAACCTAATTTTAAATGAGTGGTTAAAGAGAAACACTTATTTATGAAAGAGTTGAATAGTCTTTTTCAATAAACACATAACTCTTCATGATCTTCTAAGTACAGACACGATAGAGATAGAACTTGGAATTTCAGGGTCTCATGCTGTTGTTGTTCTATCTAAATCATTAAATCAGAATCCAATGGTTCATATTTCTTACCTCAATGAAATCGTAATGCAACATAAAAATCATCCAATGTCCTCGTCTTACGCTAGAAGTGACTAAACTCCTTTAGTTTAAAGGTCTTCCTAGGAAGTCAGAAATTGATTTCGGTATTGGTCATCAGTTAGAATGACTACCGTAAAACCATCACAAGAATTACTTAAAGTCGTTGTAAACATATTAAATCCAACAGCAAATTATTGTTTGTTTATACACGCGTTTTTCGAACAAATATTTAAAAATTTTGATATAATTTCAGTAATCCTCATCATATTATTCACGATTATTAATTTGTAATTGAAGTTCTAGAAATATCTACTCATTAGAAATTCATGAAGTACTAATCGGCCGATTGCAGAATATTTTGTAGACACAGGAAAGAACTAGAACTTACGGTAGGTATGGATACTTTATAGTCCATTTTTCAGAATCAATAAAAATCAAGAGTTGTTATGGCTGGACATATGAACTGTTTGATTTCTGTTCACCGAATAGCAGGAAGCTCAACGACTTTACAAGAATTTGGGTACTGCTGAGAAAGACTAACCTAAGACAAAACAACTGTTGTGACACATAAGTTGTCACTTATGGTTATGTCCTAACTTAATACCAGCTAGTGACGAAATTCAACTCTGGACAGTTTGTGTCAAAAGGTTAGTGGTTTGATTTAACTCCTTATTTAGCGTATCTGATGCATAGAATGAAGGATAATTATAATGCTGTTTGCTTTGAAAATGCAACTTTCTTGTTCTGAGATTCATTTCATTTTCATCATTTACCTAAATGAACGATTGGGAGTTTGTTTTTAAAAGCCATCTTGCGGAATGATTATAAAAAACAGTTCTTCCTACTGCACTACGTGCAGCGATTTCGAAAACCTACTCTTTATACATGTGCTTGGCTTCTCCAGCCATCATCCATCCGTTCCTGATTTTGTCATAAATTTGTCAGTTTCATCAGTTCTTCATTAGCATGTGGTTGGAATCCAGGATCTCATAGTTTTGAAACCTTTTTGTCATTATTTGAAGTTTTAATGGGCCACATTCTTTAGAATCAAGGAAACGATTCCAACCAATCGGTTGAAATTGATGTATTGACTCACGGCCTTGATTGCCACTCGTAGTCACAGGTAAAGGCATAACAACCATCCTACAATCAATTTTGATTATGGTTAATTTTGGTTAAGTCCTTTGTATTAACTTACTTAACAGACATAGTCATTTGGATAATAACAGTTTGCATATTCTTTGTACTGTTATGACCACTAGAGCACATAACACTCTGGCCAAAATGTTGATTGTTTTAGTATCATTCGATGATTCATACTCCTCCCCATATATGTATGTACGCAAATCCTATTATCAGTTTTTGTTTTGTTTTGCTGCGCCCTTATTAAATTTGACGATAAGTAGCCTATGTAATTGCTTGCTACTCGCTCGCTTGCTGATATTCGCTCAGGTGCTGGTAGCTTTCTGTTCTGAGTTAATTGACAATAAACTGTAGTTGCTGCTTCTCTTTCCTTCTGATTTTATGCACCGTAAAGATTGGAATTATAACGGTTACTAAGGTGAACGATTAACGAAGCACGGCACTACAAAAGATTGATCAATAGCTTGTAAACCCAAATTTTCATCACAAAATGTTAACAGTGAGTGGATACCAAAAAGCAGAATAATGGGTCAGCGAAAATGAGTCCTTGTATATGACAGAGCTGAGAGCTTATGAACAAAATCTTTGAGGCAAAGTTAACATAGGTATATTTTGTCCAAAATATAAATAACTGTATGATTCGTATTTCATAAGCCCGATTATTAGTGTTTCTTATTGTTCACAGTATCTGCGACTAATGCTCAATTAAATAAAAGTCCAAATTACCGAACTGTGTCCAATTACTAGGAATGCCTTCTACTGTAGCATTGTATGATAAGTCCTGGAATTTTATGGTATCAGTTACCAAATATGCTATGATGAATGTCAAGTTGCATGTTATTTAGGTTTAATGTGTTCTGTAAATTACTTTCAACCATCTGAAATTACGTGTTCATATATCATTTTTGTATACAGTTTGAAATGATACTGATAAATAGTAACTAAGGTCATGTTGGTTAGACGGAGTTGATTGAAAATAATATTTATTTTCAAGTTTATTAGGTGTTGACAAACTAACCAATTAAATAATAAATTTGAAATGAATATTTAACCAGGACATGTCAGGTATTCATGTTTGCGATCAAGGTTCTGAATATTTCAATAGCTTTACTCATTATTTACTTGTATGAACATCTGACTCACTAGGACCACATCTTTTGAAAATACATTTCTTTTAATGTTTTTGGTCTTGATCTCAAATGGTACGAAAGTAATAAGAAGTAATTATATAGTTGGATCATATATTCAGTTATTCTTCATTCAAAATTTATGTCAAGTTACAATTAATAACCATTCATTACTAAGCAAAGATAGATAGTGGTCAGCAGTGGAATCCAGGACGCGCGTTTCGTCCTATTTAGGACTCGTCAGCTGGATGTACCTACATCTTAGAACTGATGTTCACTCTGGGACTCGAACCTAGTACCTTTCGCTTCAAACGCCATCGCGTTATCCACTCAGTTACTGAGTCCTGATAGCCACTTGCTTGTGCTTATAATGCTTGTGAATTAAGTCAATATGGAGGCAATACGCACAGTATGCACATATGCCAATAAGAGACTGACCAGTTGCATTCCTAAACATCAAACAAACAATACTTAGTGAATTCATTCATTACTAATTTCAAGAATGAAAGTTATATATTAAGTAATGATAAATAGCTTCATAACTTAGTTACACATGCTTATGTTTTTATTTATGCTTTTACTTGTAATATGTAGCTTGAATAATAAAATGAATTGGCTCTTTATAGGAAAGAAAGAAACATTTCATGTGTTTTATAAATTTTTGTTAACTTGCATTTATAAGTGGGTGTTTTATTAATCTACCTACCAGAAACTTCTAAATAAACTGAATAGAATTTCTACATTTAAGATCTTCAGTTATTGATTATGTTTTGTTTTGGGGGGATATGAATTTTTATTTAGATAATTTATGATTAAGATTTTACTAAACATAACTTAATGCTCAGAAATTGACCTCTCTGCATATTCATATACACGACATTTTAATTTTAATAAAAACTTTTATAAAAATTTAAATATATAAGATTTTATCAGAACGGGGTTTTGTGGAGATTTTAGTAATTTTATATAGTTGGAATCATGAGTGGATTGGTTGAAGTTAGACACCAACACTGTTGGATGCCGGCTCAGTGGTCTAGTAGTTAGGTACTCACGTGCGAAACTGATAGGTCCTGAGTTCGAATCTCGTGAGGTGGGATCGTGGATCGCGCTGCTGAGGAGTCCCAAAATTGGACGAAACGGCCATCCAGTTCATCCAGGTTTTCCATGGTTGTCTAGCTTCAACTGACTCATGATTTCAATTATATAAAATATAAGATATTCATCAATTTACGTTTCCTCAACAATTATGAAGATCATGCAATGGTGAACAGTTTCGTGAGTAACACTTTTAATCTAAGACAATTGATAGCCTGTTATTTACATTGTTTTTACGACTGGTTTTTGTAGAAACAATTCCCATTAGTAAACTAATAGACATTTTATGAGTAAAATTAAAACAATTTCGTCCACTAAATCGATATGTATATCTGTAATTTATTTTCGATTTGGTCTATTATGTAATCTTTCCCTGAGACTGGAAAACATTTTCGATTACTTTGTGTGATGGAAGAATTTCATATTTTGTTATAGACATATGTATTCTAAGTAGTTATTTGGATGATTGTAAAGGTTTGGTAAGTGATATCACCTTAAAGAGAGAATTTTTCTCCACTGATTTGTCATGGTTTTGTTTTCAATGACCCGTTAGGTTTGTTTCACTTTTCTTAAAACATCTAATCATACAGCTACTTTAATGACAACTGGATCCAAAGTTCGTCAGTATAATAAACATCCTTTGTTATACATTTTTTATGTTTGAAAAGAAGATACATTGTCAGCAACATTTCGATGCAACATAGAAGTATAATCAATATCTAAAGGTGTTTTTTTCCTTATTATTACTTTTACGAAACCGCAAAATAAGAACGTTTTTTAAAATTATGCTGGATTATTCGATTCAGTTTAAATTAGACAAAAAATAAAAATCATTGGTTACAATAAATATCAATTATTCAATGTATTTTATTTTAATCATACATAGATTTCTTTTGTTTAAAAAAATGACTTTATCAGTTTATCATTTCCGATAAATATCCCATTGACTAGGTAATTCATTCATTTCTTTATAAATTGTTGGATGTGAGTTTCGTTTACCGAAACGAAATATTTGTCGACGTTTATAAGGAGCGATTACTCGATTTTGAGGATTATATTCTAAAGAATCCCATGGTTGTAATGGATTATTATCTTCTGTAAAAAGAAAAACGAAATATAAAAAAAAAGAACATTAACATTGTTAAACTAACAAAAAATTGACAGGATAAATAATAATCATAATTATAGCATTAATATCAGTATAGCTTGACCTCAAGAGTTGAAAGCACGTAGTTTTGTTTTATCCTATGAAATAGTTATGGATTCAATAGATAAAATTCATATTCGAATAGATTTCGAATGAAAACTGATATTAGAAGAATATATGTAAAATGTCAGATCTCATTTAGAACTTGTTTATTGCATACACATACAACTAAATGTTATTTTACACATTATAAGTCTATTCATTTATCCGACTTCGTAACGACTTATATGAGCCATAAACTTTTGATTAGTATGGTATTGAACGTAATTTGTAGCATTCTGTATTTTCCCGCTGTTGATATTCCATGGTCAATCATTATCCATGATATCATCAAATTGCAAACATAGACTTTGTCAAAATATTCATACTAATAGGTTATATTTCAATGATTTTACATCATTTTAGTCCTGAATATCATATAACAGAAATATGCACCTTTTGTAACGGAGTGACCTTTATTTTATTTCTCATTATCGCTTCAAACTATTTAATACTTTTGCAATGGAAATTAGATCCTTTTTAAGGACTAGTCAACGTGTAATTTTACAGATTTAAAGTGAATTATTTAAAGAATTTTGAGCTAATTTCTTATTTTTTAAAATCCGGTTTATAAATCTGAAATTGACTATAAATGTTGGAATAACCAGCATGTAGTGTGTACGTGAATTAAATTGTAGAAATAATCAAGGTTAATGTTTGATAATGAATTCTGTAAAGCGTGAATTTATATGCATTAAGTAGGAGGTAATAAAAGTCTATTGAGTGATAAATAAATTGTTCAAATACATGAAGATAATGTTACTGATTAAATCACATAAGTTTTGATAGTAAAACCATGGGAAGGAAGAGATCGTTTACATGAGGTGTGTAGGATTATGCTATAATGAAAATAAAACTATCTAATCATTGACTACAAAATCAGTCGATGTAAAAAAGGAGGATTAGCCTATTTTCGGGGACTGAAGCTCAGTGGAAAAAGTAAGTTTACAAGCGTTTATATTCATTTTTCGAACCATTTAAGCTCCTCCAAATTAAGGTGTTTTCACCATAGCAGTACATTTTAAAACAAGTGATATTTTGTTAGATTTAGAAAAAAGTCAATAATACCAAAACTAGCTCTGTAATCTGAATCTACATCCATTATCAGTGTACAGTACAAAATAAAATGAGGATTGAAGTATGTGGATACACTGTGAGTTTATGAGGATTTTAAAGAAACGTTGTGTGTATGTTAGCGTGCATTATGAGTAATAACAAAAATACATCAAGACAAGTTTCATAATTTTGAGGTCGTAATTTAGAAAATATAACTTATTCAATAAAGTAAGTTGTTTCTCGACTGAATATGAATATGTTCATCAGCCTTAATTAATATAAGAATTAGTACGTAGCTCTCCTGAAGTAAAAGATCACTTTATTTCCAAAACATTTCTGCTCGTAAATTTATTCTTCAATAATTCGATTGAGGCTTAAGAACAATTTATTTAGATTTTTACCTCTGAAAAAAATATATTTGTCAAGTCTCAAATCTAAATCATTTCATTGCATATAGTAACAACAAGCGCTTGTAGATAAGAGGGAAATAACAGTGAACGGTGAAACATAATTTCAGCGTGAAACTTATTAACTACTTACTGAGTAGAAATCTATTGAATGTTTACATTTATGCTGACGTGAAGTCAGTTCGATGTTGTCTCACAAAAAACGTGATATATTCAATGTTAGAAATCCTTTACTTTGTTTATGATGCAGGATTATTTGTGATGGGAAGTATATTTCGTTTTTATGACATTTAACGCACAAAATTAATAATTAAATTGACGCAAACCTCGTTGAAGATAAGCGGTTTTATACAATGATGTAAAAGTCATAAGTATTCATTTTCTACCACATTCATAAATTTGTGCTTAGATAGGGCTCATTATTCACAGGTTTCAAAAACTGCATATATGTTTTTGGTTGATTGAACATAATTCTAATGAGTATCATTCTTAACTTGCCGAAATTTCTTAAATGTTTAATTTATCTTGCTTAAACATTAGTGAGGAAATAATAGGTATCATTAAACTATGAACTGAATTTTACTAGTGCACCCATGGAACGTCCTTTCAAAAGTAAACATCTCTCACTAGCCCCTTTTGGCTGAATTATTTACAATCTGTAATCAGTTCATGAGAAAAACATCAGTGAAACAAAAAAAATTAGCTGGATTCTGATCAGCGATTGACAAAATATCAATGAAAAGTAAACAAACAAATATACAAGGGTTTTTCAAATAACTTTCGTACTTAAAAAAGCCTATAATTTTCACACATTTCGTATACTTCTTGTTTTGGGTACATCTGTTTAATGTAATACTTGTTGTAACTAACGTTTTAATAAATTCATTCAGATTATTTAACATTCATTTATGCATTTAATATGCGTCCAATAGATTTTGCTTTCAATTACTAACAGTAATGATATTCAGAAATTAATTAGGGTTCTCTTCATGAAATGACACTGGTTATGACATTAATTCAAGGTAGAAATTCTACTTATCATCACTAAGAAGAGACCTGAAATATCTTACAGATTTAATTCTGAGTTAGTTTGATGACTTCTTTGTTTAGGACAAAAGTAATTTTCAACATAATTGTCAACTGTTGCAGCAGTTAATATTTCGAAACATTGAACATGAAATGATTATTTATAAATCCAAAAGTCAATCCTTCGGACTGCTTTTAGCTAGATGTTCGTTGAAAGTTAGAAATTACTTAATATCTGTCCTATCAAGGTAGTGCCACTTTAATACCAACCTTAATATACGTATCAATCTTTTATGTACACGGATAGTGAGTATTCTACCAAAAAGGAACAGTTGTTTAACCAACATTAGCTGGTAAATTGATAATTCTCCGCCAACATCTTATTCGAACAAAAATAAACTTACCACTTTTTCTATAAATTTAACCAAACAAAAAAAAATTTATCGACCTGCCTGTAAAGACTGTGGGAGATACTTAAAATACACAATATGTTTCTTATCATAAATTAATGAAGAAAAATACATTTTGTTTTAGTCAGCTGAATAATTGGGAAAAATAAAAATGAAATTATTTTCTATTATATTCACATAAGCAATTTGTTTTCATTTGAACAACAACCTTTTTTTTACTCCTGCAAGCAAATTTCTCCCCATTTATAAATCACTTTTCAAGGAAACTGATATATAAATACATATATAAGTTACAGAAAAAACTTAGGACTTATGGAAATGTTATTGTTATTGTTAGGAAGTAAATAATAAATTCTCATGAATAAATATCATTTGTGAGTAGTAATGGTTCAATTTATTAGTGAATAGCTCAGAGATATAATATGGAATTCGTTATATACGAAAACGTTTTTACATAATGATGAATCTATTGATGAAACACTTCATTTCATACTGAAATTAACAAGTACAACGGCTGAGATGATGGTAACTAGTGATGAAATCCAGGATGGGTGCTTCGTCCAATTTGGGACAGGTCAGCTGGATGTACCGGGATCCCAAAGTTGATGTTCACCCTAGGACTTGAACATCAATGGGAAAATTCAAGCAACTAATACAAAAATGAATTAAATACAACAATTGTTTGTTAAGACTATAGGAAAAACTTATTTAAATTGAAGGACTGCCATATATAATGTTTGATATTAACAACTCGACGAAATATGTGAACTATGATTTTTTGGATCTAAATCGTTTGATATAGAGTAACAGTAAATTAAATCAACAAAGAAATGAACAACTTCATCCTAATGGTTACTAACTAGTACTTTTGAGCATTATAATCAATGTGATCTTCCAGTTATTCGCTTTATCTAAGTGAACAGGAACTCACATAATATTATTTGCTACGTAAAATTTCAGAATATAATAGGCCATCTGATAATTCAACTAGTGAATTTAACAAAAAGTACAGATAGTAACCAACTAAATTTGATACATGTCTATGTAACCATTTTGTACTAGAAATTTTCAATGAATACTATTTTTGCATATTTTCTAGTTAATAACTACCTTCATCCGTCTATAACTTTGGTACAAATAAACATTTATAATTCTGTTTACCTATTTATGCTGTTTCCTAATATTATTCATGAAATTATGCTGGGAATGAGACATATCGTTTAAAACTGTCTAAATTTATATATTATTACTTCAGCTAATCCAAACAACTACTCATAATTGAGTATTTAAAGACTAGTATACAGTAGTTGGTATTGAGGATCATAAAAAGCAGTAACTCTGAGTTATATACTATTTGGAACCTATTAACACGTCATATTAGTAAAATTAACTAAATTATAGCTTATCACAAATGTTGGACTACTCCGTTGATACTTAGTTAAAATCAACTAGCTTAGAAAACACACCAGAAAGGTGGATTATATTCATTAAAAGGTCATAGCAAACATCCGGTTGATCGCTATCAATTGTTCGGTGAAGTGAAGTTTCAAAATCATATTCAAACTTAAGTACATGGTGTTTGTGTGACGATGTCTTTATGTAAACACAAAAAAACCTGCAAATTATACTGGTGCAAAATTAAACTAACATTAAGTTAAAGTAACGTTTGTACATGGTATGAATAGTGAGATGTAGTTAGGAATTAATTTATTATATTATATTGGTAGTGATCACGAATTTCTTTCAACTCATATAATTTATTTATGTATCATACTGGGTTTCCTAATGTGAAAAAAGTATTCAAAGACATTACCATCACAGTAAAACTAAAGCAATGTCACCTATCTCACGTAATAATTTTTATATATAAAAAAAATAATTAAGGAAGTTTTAAGGATTTAGATATTTTGTCTACTCTGAAATTTACTACTTATTTTAGACAGTTCAAAAAGGACCATACAAAAAATATCGACATGTATTAAACTAAGAACCAGGGAAATAAGTCAATAAACAGTTTCTGTCGTTGATATCACCTGGAGATGCATTTATTACCAGTAATCATTAACAAGCTGTTATATTCTAGTTTATTATTAACCAGTATCATCCACTTACGACAACCTCAAAGTAGTGTGAAACAGATATTGTCCAGCTAATTTCTGCTCATGGTGACGTCTATTTTTAAGAAAGGATTAGAGTAAACTGTTAGGCTAGGAGAAGATAGATCTAAAATTTGGCATTATAATCCACCAATATATTTCTATTTCATCACTCTAAAGTGATATGTATTCTTAAATGTTATCTGATCAATAAACGTAGGTAAACTAATGATTTCTCAAACTACTGAGAAACTACAGTAGTTAGATACATTTCAGCCTTTTTTCATCTCGATTTAACTTATTGTTGAAAAGATATCAAAACTGCATTTTGATAAGAGCTGTTTATTTATTAACCAAATTAGACGTATGTGTTTTTGATCCAGTAAAGCATAGATATTTTTACCCTTTTAAGTAAACTTGGATATTAATTAGCAGTGAAATCCATGACCCCGAAGAAACAATGATCAAACTTTATTCACTTACATTAACAAGAGTAAGATACAAAAAAATAAAAGTAAAGATCTATTAATTTTACAGTTTTGTTCTAAACCTTCGACAGTTGAAGTACATTATTAACTGAGGTGAGTTTAATTTAACAAACAAAACAAACAAAATAAGTGGGTTTTAGTAAAAAAATTTCCACGTATAGAGAAAGATAAACCAACCACAGAAATTATATGCAAAGAGGGATAGTGGCTAGCAGTGGAATCCAGGACACGTGTTTCGTCCTATTTGGGACTCGTCAGCTGGATGTACCTGCATCTCAGAGTTGATGTTCACTCTGGGACTCAAACCCAGTACCTTTCGCTTAAAACGCCATCGCGTTATCCACTCACCTACTGAGTCCTGATAGCCACTTGCTTGTGCAATTGGGTGAAGTTTGAATTCACTTAGTATTGTTTGTTTGAATCTTCCCATTGATGCTGAGGACTGCAACTGGTCAGTCACTTATTGGCATATGTGCATACTGTGCGTATTGCCTCCATATTGCCTTAATTCACAAGCATTATATTCAATGATGGATAGTGGCTAGCAATATCGAGTCAATACGCACAGCATAAATATATGACAATACAAGACTGACCAGTTGCAGTCCTAAGCATCAATGGGAAGATTCAAACAAACAGTACTAAGTGAATTCAACCACAGAAATGTTTCTGTGTAGTAAAGCAATTTATTGGATTCTATATCATCTGTAAAACTTTAGAAACTGTTCGATTATATCATTATTTATACGTATTATTTATCATCTTAAGACTTATAAACTTATTTAAAGATAGAATTGCTACTGCTTTAACAAAAATATTATTCAACCTACCATCACAGGAAACTTCGGTTAATATATATAGACTGATCAACAAATGTAGTGCCAATTTAATCATTCTGAAACAAAAACAATTAAAGAAACATGATTACAGTACATGAAAACATAATTATTTAATAAATTAGAATCAGAAATAAACCATTTATGAATTAATTAACTTTGTTGAAATTGCAACCTAATGGGTTATTCCCCTATGAAAATATTTATTTTTTATATTCACTATGCTTTAAATATTTTTAGAATTTCTTTTAAATATTTCAACATTTACAAACACATTTTTCCCAATGCAGAGGTGACTAAATGAATGATATATGTCTCAAGACTACATCACAAACTGAATAAATTTGAAAATTGATGCTATTATATTCAATTTCTAGACCAATAGAAGATCTCTTTGATCGAAAATTATTCAGTACAAAAAATAATATACGGAGGGAAAGAAGAAAAAAGAGAAATGGGATGAATTTTACCACAATTGAGTTAAATAAACTATCTCCTTTGAGATAGCACCATAAATCAGTTTATAATTCACATAATTGTGAAAAAATAATGATTTTATTCAAAGAAGAGAGTTTTGTGGAAATCATGAGTCATTTGAAGCTAGACAACCATGTAAAACCTGGAAGCACTGGACGGCCGTTTTCTTCCATTATGGATGCCGGCTCAGTGGTCTAGTGGTTAAGCGCTCGACTGATAGATCCTGGTTTCGAATCTCGTGAGGCAGAATCGCGGATGCGCACTGCTGAGAAGTCTCACAATAGGATGAAACGACCGTCCACTGTTTCCAGGTTTTCCATCGTGGTCTAGCTTCAATTGACTCACGATTTCAACTATATAAAATTCCATTAAAATCTCAAAACCATTGCTACAACGTCTTACTAACCGAAACCCTATAACTTCAAACAGGATTTTATGAACTAATTTTGTCAAGTCATGCCTGACATTACAGTGTAATTAAAAATAATTTATCAGAAATTTTAATTGACTTTTTCATTGCACAATTTTCTGATTGTCGTAAGAAACTTTCTATAAACGACTTGAAAAAAAATTGAGCAGTAATTCTCAATATTACTGTGTCTTATAAACTGAATAGTTTAATTAAAACTTATCATTAATATTATCGTAAACTGTTTTCTTTCTTCCAAGATTTGTGTTACTGTTGTTTGGTAATATAACAAAATCTTCACATCTGTATTGTACATTGCCAAAAATGTAATCTCATGAAAATCTTAATATAATTCCTTGAAAATGCTTGGACCAGATTACCAGGCGAAACGTTGGATTTACTACAAATTCATTCGCTGAGATTTTACAAATATATTATTCCTATTTAATGAATTAAACTTAAGATTTTCTTCATTATATTAAAATGTATATGAATTAAGTGAGTAAAGATTTTTTTGTATATTTTTATCCATTAAGTCCTTTATTCTTCATTATTTGTACACTGATTTAATTTAATGATATCTTAGGTATTATATATAAGAACTTTCGTCTAAATTAGAGCTAATAGTTTCATGATATTAGGGCGCCGAGTTGATGTAAGACATTAAATAGGAATAATGTATATTTATAAAATCTCAGGAAATGGAACTGCTTCAAATTTATTCGCTGAGATTTTACAAATATATTATTTCTATTTAATGTCTTAAGTATTATATGCAGATGAATTATAATTTTTATAACAAAGATTTTATCTAACACTGCTTCAATTAGATGTAATAGAAGAGTTATAAATTTAACAGAATTTCTCTGTTTTTGTTTAAGAAAATATTATTTTTTAAAAATATTTCTATTAAATTGGGTCGTGTTGTAGTGAACAATAACACGAGTGGGGACAATCAAATGTATTTAAGCACAAATTACAGACTATCTCACTAAAATCTGATAACCATACAGTAAACAGTTAATCTGCAAAATAACAATCAATTGTCTTAATCTTAACTGTTCATTCTGTAAATATCAGTTCATTTCCTCTGATTTCAATGTTTATGCATTTTCCTACCAATTGCGCTTCATTTCAGTTCTTTCCTTATCGATCTTCTGCAGAAATACATTCTATGTCTGACCATCACCATATACTACTTATGTGGATATAAGTAGACCACACCACAGTGTATCTAACTAAATATTTACCAATAATATAAAAAAGCTAACGCTATTACAATTTTCTGGAAAACCCAGTAATCTTGGTAATTATAGCATGATCAGTATTTGAAAAGGACTTAAATAGATAGCTAGACTATAGGATATTATAATGTTTATATTGTTAGTCTTATGATTTTATACCTTAAGTAAACAATTTGTGTCATACACTAGTATCGTATGAAATAATTCATGATATTTTATTCAGCTCTGTACAATGTCCTATCAAGCGACAAACTTTAAAAAATTTATCAATCATACTTCAATGTAATTTCTTTATTGAAAAAAGGAATTTGGAAACCATCAATGTTACAGTACATAGTGACATCTGAAAATCATATTTTGGAAAACATTTTGTGATCCTTAAATCCGTAGAGCTGTTTAGTAATCAAAACTCAGCAATGACATTTAAGTTTGAGGAGGAATTTGATAACAAACTGCATTTTATAGATATTTTTCAAAGGGAAAATAAAATGATTTCATCAGCATCAGTGCGTATAGGGAACGTTTTTCAGAAGGCCTGTATACATATTTCTTGAACATTGTACCCACTCGTCATAAAAGAAACCTAGTTAGATGTCTTTCATATACAGCTAGGAAAGTTGGCTCAGGCAACATTGTAGACAAGAAACAAGAGGTTATTCATTATATGTTGATTGGAATTGGTTATCCATAAATCCTTTTCCAAAAATACTTCAGTGTGATGAACAAGAAAATAGCGACAACAATGGTTAGTGAGGATCCTTTCTTCTTGTAGCTACTGTTCAATGGAGATATAGCTAGTGATGTGATGCGAAATAGACTGACTAGAACAATGAAAAGAATATTTGATGTAGTTGGTCTCTATCTATTGATCTCTAGAAGACCTATGGTGATTCTTTAACTGAAGGATAAGTTACCTATTTCTGGCACATCCATATGTACCTACGAATTCAGCAGCTCCCGTGTAGAAAGTTATACTGGGCGCACAACCAGATAACTGAGCCAACCACTTAGTGACTACCTCTCTTTGTGGTTAGGAACGGGTAACATTTAAGCAATATGCAGCTCTGTTCTATCATATCTGATAGAAAACGCTTATGTAGTAGATAGAAATAGGTAGTCTCTTACACACATCAGAATCTATGAAGATTCGAGCTAACAATCCTAGTCTTTTCATTTATAAGAAATTGTAACAACCTTATATCTTGCTTGGCCAAATAAGCACTAACAATCGATTTTATTTTCCATAATCTTTGATTGTTTATTATTCTATAGTTCATTTTTTCAAATTTACTCTTCATTGTCCAATTATCTGAACATTTCTCATTACATAATTTAATAATTTAATAAATGTTCATTCAGTGTCTATATTTTTCTAATCATTGGCCTATTTCCTATTATGAAACATTGATTGAAACCTTTATTATTCTTAACACAACTAGTAAATCTTTTATCACGCCATGAATTTGTACTTTTTATTTATGTAATCTAACCTATTGACTGATAAACTACTTGACTGGTTTAATAATTTCATTAATGCATATTAACATTTACGTCGATTTCAGTATCTCCTGATGATGATCTGATTTAAAACATCATTATTCACTTATATTTATTGGATCCGTGTATTATATAAAGTAATTTTATGTGAAATTATTTTCAATAAACAAAATGTAAGGCTTATCTGTATCTCAATAAACGTTCCTAGTGTTTGTCAATACACCATACTTTACTAGTCCTTCAAAATGAGAATTAAAAAAAGACATCGTACAAGTGTTCTTTTTTATGGTTGTATCATTTATTGTATCTGCTAAAATATGATAACAAATATCGTTCGATGTATTGTATAAAAAAACAGAATGATTTATTTCACTTGGAATATTGCATTGAGTCTTTGGGAGCATACGTGAATTTAGTCTTACTTCAGATTATTCTGTAAACCACTATGTCTACGTTAATATAATTGCCTACAAGTGTAGCTCTACTATTACGTTATCTTTTCGTTAATGCTTAGTTCTATAAAAACTATACTGTTTAGAGAGGAGATTTTGTAAGACGTATCTCTTACAATGAATTATTTTCCATAGTCACCTGAAGAAATTAACTTCACAATGAGATTTATAGTGATAGTTCTACCTAACTGTAATTATATTTCAGAAAAAGAGCGTTTTTATTGTTGTTAAAACGAACTATTATGATACATAAATAACTTAAATTGTACATGAAATCTTATATCGTCATTTTACGATTAATTTCTTTTGTCAGTACTGAATATCTATAAAGCATTTTCCTGTATTTAGAATAAATTAATTTAAAACCTTTACACCAATTTTTAAATGATTAGTGAGTTAATAAATTCAATAGTCAACTATTAAAAGTGACCGTTTATCTTAAATCATAGTTTTACTCAAATGTGATTCATTCATATTACATTTCAAACAAATCACATTAGAAACTTTCGTTCATCATACATACATGTAACGAATGACTGACAGAAACTGCATATATAGTGTCTTCATTCAGTTAAAAAAATTATACATATTCATTTAATACGAGACCAAAACTATAAAAGATCAATTTTGATATTTGTCTGAAAAACAAATTTTCTACAAATGATTAAAGTATTGAATAAAACTATGGAATTTTTTTTAATTCACATGGCATTGTTTTACTTGAATCTTCCCATTGATGTTTAAGACTGCAATTGATCAGTCTCTTATTGGCATATGTACATACTGTACGTATTGTTTCAATATTGCTTTAATTCACAAGCTTTATAAGCAAAGATAGATAATGGCTGGCGCAACTTGGATTCCACTGCTAGCCACTATCCCTTTTTGCTTACTGTGGAAATTTTATTTTGAAATATATATATTATTATGTAGTTGAAATCATAAGTCAATTGATGCTAGACAACCATGGAAAACCTGGAAGATCTGGACGGCCTTTGCGTTCTATTGTGAGACTCCTCAGCAGTGCGCATCCACGATCCTGCCTCACGAGATTTGAACCCGCACCTATCAGTCTCGCGCGTGTGCGCTTAACCACTAGACCACTGAGCAGGCATATATATATATATATATTGCTAACCAAAATATTTTCCTTTCATGTATGATACGTTTATAATGGACTAGTCTTTTTTATTTTAACCAAAACTACAAATATGATACTTATTTAAATATCATTTTTGGTTGTTTTTAGTTAAATGGAAAGTCATGACATAAAAAATGATTGATTCAGTCTTATAGATTTATTTTTTCGTTGTTTTGAATTCCGAATAAATAAATAAATAATAGAATAATTTAAGATGATGAATGTTGTTTTCAATTTTATTAGTTGGGGAAAGTATTTAAGTAAAAAGAAGGAAATTTAAACAAAAACTCGAATAATAAATGGGTTTACTAAAATCTATATGCTATGGTTGTATGCATTTAACTGCTTGTTTTTATTGTATATTTTGTCTATTTTCTTTTGTATGAGATTCATGGTTATTCAAAATAAGTAGGTGTGTAACATCTCTCCTAGCTGCTTCAATTCAATAATCCTTCTTTATTCCTCTCTATTTTACGGATAAAATGTCTTCAAATACACATTACATCTGATTTTTTTGTACATCTCTTGTACAATAAGGTTAGCGGTACAACGGTATACGAAATAAAATGAAGAACTATGTTTCATTATACACATTATTAACTAGCGTCAACCTGAGAGCGAAAAGTTATTTAATGAATAGTATTATATACATTTGATTGATTTGTGGTTGCTGATGGATCATATTTTATGAAATTTAAAGCAAATTAGTTTGAAATTATTTGCACAAATATTCACCGTTTGTTGATGTGAAAATTTTTTCCTGTTTATGTAGTAATACCAAACTGAACTCATGTATCTTGAAATATTAGTAGAGACTTCTTTCTTTTTTAACTCATCATTGATTAACATCTATCATTTTAATCACTTAGTAAAATGCCCACATAAATTAAATGCATATATGATACCAGATTTAATTATTTGTATAAACGAAATGATTTCACAGACTTAAAAATTCCCATATATCGTACATGGCTAGGTATAGGTACGGTTCAATATGATTAAAATCGGTTTTACTAAACAAAACAAGGTCTTTTAGTCTACAACTCAGTAAATATATATTTACATGTGATTGAAATGTAGGTGAAAATTTAAAAGACATATTAATGGAATTTCTTCCAAAAAAATGGTTTAAGTGATGATGACTAAGATTATGTTATCTAATATTATGTAAGCCGAAGAAGGTAAATATCTGTCAATGTATGACTTTCAATGCTGAGTTATTTCATTTTACAGTGTATTAAGAATAATAGAAATAAATAATAAACTCAAGAAACAGTTTTCAAGTGTAATCACAAAGTGTTTAAAGAGTTTTCGGTTTCAAATTCAAAGATTATAATGATCTTTTTGTTTTATTACATTGATAATTATAAATCTGCAAAGTTTGAATAACATAACTTATGGACGAAAATTAGTTTTTCAATTTAGAATATAACCAACAATGTATATATATTTTACCCATAATCTTTTAATACATGAGAAAAAATAGGTGTTTGTTCTGAACTGAATAGTTTGTGTATTATACTATCATTGATATTTTATATAACATTCAAAGAAATAGCTGATATCCACATGTTTGGAAATTTTAATACTTAGCTTTTTGATTTTAATGACATTATTTATATGAACATTAGGGCATCAGAGATCCTAAAACCATTAAAATCATTCTGTTTAATTACACGTCTTCTTCTTATTGTCTAAAAGAAACTTCAGTGTTTAACTATCATTAACAAAGTACAATTGCTTAGCTGAAGAGTTTCAGTTACATGTGACACACATTTTGTTGATATTTACTTTCCGTATCATGTTAAATGGATTTCAGGTATAAGATTGTAAGCGGTATTTTGGATAGTCAATAAAATATGACTGACAATTTGAAGTCAGATGAAAAGAAATTCATCTGCTTTAATTACTACATTACAAGTTATTTTTGCCAGTAATTTATTTCAATAGTCATTTGTAAGAACGTTGGTTACAATATTTTTCTCAAACACCAGGATACTAAACATAACATACTGCCTTTTTTCAAAAAATCATCTCGAAAAGATTAATTAACGAAGATCATTATAAATCTAAACGAAAATACGCCTGTTAATCCAAATTAGGCAAATCTATCCTTTAGAACTATACTAAGTGAAATTTAATCGTGTTTTGGTTTTTACTTAAAACATTTTGGGTACAAAAATGTTTAGGTAATGGAATTAAAATTTCTTTTTCATTGTGTACTAAAATTAACTAAAAATGATTGTAAACAGCAGAAACAATTTTCCCTAACATGGAGATTCTGAAATGGATATATCTACCATTAGATCATAAAACCCTTATAACATTATAAGGCTAATAAATCATGAAGTAGCATAACCTTATTTTAATGCTATAGCTGATTCTCTGTCTTGCTTATAGCTTATTTAAATTTCCGGAAATCAATGTTTACAAATGGAAAAGCAATATCAAGACATCCCTATAAGAAAAACTATAATAATATAGAATCTCAAAACTTGGAGAATATAATCACTAACGAAGAGTTATAAAATCTTATAAGATATTTTCAATGTAACCAAAACCTAGTCACATCTTAGAAATTCATCACTTGCTATCGATTCCATTCTTAGAATGAATAATAACAAAACTTTATTTAAGTATAAATGAAATAATTGAATCTGATATAAGGTTACATATACAAAAAAATAAAAAAAATTATTGATGGTTTCAAATCTAGATCATATAAAAAGCTGGTAAGATGATATAGCAAAAGAATAAAAGTAATCGTCTTTTAAAATGGAAATATTTATTCAACACTTACATAAAAAGAAAGTTTTCTTCTTCTTCTATTTCTTCTTCTTCTACTGGTTATTATTAGATTAGATTATTATTTCACTAACTTAATTTAAATGACTGAAATAAGGTTTTTTATTATTTAATTGATGTAGATCTCTTCCATATACTATTTTGAATTAATTATGTAAAGCTAATCTTTCTCAGTTAAATATATATCAGTAATTTAACTTTTTTTTGATTGGTCAATTTTATTATCCAATAAAGATTTTTAAAATGAATATTAGTGATTAATAATTATTATTCATTAAAAATTAGAAACTGTTATTATTTTATAAAAATGTTCTCTTATACTTTTTTTAATACACTTGGTGTAGAGAAAATCATTTTTATTAAATTTTTATTTGAGAGAAATATGTAAATATAAAAAAATATACATAAAATCAATAAAATCATTCAGAACTCAGTAGCTAAGTGGATAAGGTGATGGTGTTTGAAGCGAAAGGTACTGGATTCGAGTTCCAGAGTAAACATCAACTCTGAGATTCAGGTATATCTAACTGACGAGTCCGAAATAGAACGAAACGCGTGTCCTGGGTCTTACTGCTAGCCACTATCCATCTTTGCTTATAATGGCTGTGAATTCAGGTAATATCGAGGTAGTCCTCATAGGATGCACATATGCCAATAAGGGACTGATCAATTGCAGTCTTAAACATGAATGGGAAGATTCAAGTAAACAACACCACGTGAATTTAAAATCAATTAAGTTTTCTTGTTCAGGTCTTCATTTTTGGATAAAAAGTATTGCATTGTTTCCCCAAGAAAATGTCCATTTGATTGACATATATTACCTTTCATAAATAATTTAAGTTCATAGATTTTTAAACAAGACTTTACTGTCTTTTTAGAGTGAATCTATTAGCGATCAGTACTATTGAATAGTGAAAACAAATATAATAATGGTGTTCCTACTTACAAGATGAATTATAATCAGAGGGCTCCAAAAGATATTTGAAGCTTACCATCAAAGTTTTCTATTTTGGAGATTGTTTTCTAAAATTATTTAAAAGAGAATATACTAGCGAATTAATTTGTATATTTTTTATACTAAACTTCATATAGGAATGAGATGAAAGCGGGATTTTATACAAACATAAAATAGTCGAAAGTAATCTGAATATAGATTGCTAAGCAACTACTCTTCTGTAATTTTATAATTATGGTGCGCTATAAAATAATTTCAAATATTAATCAGTTAAGAATACTTATAATAATGATTAAAAAAACACTTACATACCCATTAGTCTTAATGATTTTATGAGTTTAGATATTTATCTTTTGGGTTTGTAGTTCAGTATAAATTAGTTTTTTGTATCACTTTATAATAGTTCATTTTAAAATCTGAGCATTTTATCTATCATTATTATTATTCACCTAAGTGTAGTTGGCCCTTTATTATCGAATTTCTAATAAATAAGTCTTTTGCTATAAATGACTACAGTTTAGATATTTTATATCTCATACGGTATCGCTTGGTTATAAGGTCTTCTACGAATTAATATATCTAAAATAATAGTATTTCAGAAACCTAGGATCACTAGACCCCTTTATAATAATAATCATTATATGCTCACTAGTGACTGGCTTCAAGAGGTATTTCCTGGAGTTCAAGCGAGAAGCAGTTACCGGTGAATTTGAACCGGGTCTGTTGTGAGATAGCAACTAACTGAAGACAATCGTGGACGGCTGCTCATTTTCGAGAATTGGTTGAAGTTAGATACCAACACCGTTGAATGCTGGCTCAGTGGTCTAGACTTTGAGCGTTCGTGCGGAAGGCCGATAGATCCTGGGTTCGAATCTCGCGTGGCGGAATCGTAGATGCGCACTGCTGAGGAGTCCCACAATAGAACGAAATGGCCATCCAGTTCTTCCAGGTTTTCTATGGTTGTCGAGCTTCAACTGATTCATGATCTTGCAGTGCCGCGATTCGTTAGTCGTTCATTTCGATAACCGATATAATTCTAATCTTAACGGTGAGTAAAATCAGAAAACAAAGGATAGCAGCAACTACAGTTTATTGTCGAATAACTCAGGTCAAAAAGCTAACAACACCTGAGCGAATATCAACGAGCGAGCGAGTGGCAAACGAGAGAGCGAGTGAACAGGCGAACAAGCGAAGGAAACGAACGAGGCGAATAGCAAGTAATTACATAGGCGATTTATAGTCAAATTTAATAAGGGCACAGCAGAGCAAAACAAAGGCTGATAATAGTATTTGCGTAAATACACATATGGGAAAGGAGTATGAGTCATCGAATGATATTTAAGCAGTCAAGATTTTGGATAGTGTCGTATGCTCTAGTGGTATAGCAGTGCAAAGAATATGGAAATTGTTACTATCCAAATGACGATGTCGGTTAAGTAAGTTAATAAAAAGGGCTTAACCAGATTAGGTGTAAACAAACTCAATTGTATTTGAGTTGCTATAATCTCAACTATGAGAAATAACAAACTTTAAGTTGAAATATATGTATCTGGATATATGATATTTTAAACAATTATTCGACTATAGCTCTTTGTTTTTTTTTGGAAATGCAGAACGGTGACTGGAAGGAAAGGCATTTTCTAATAAATTCAATAAAGTTATTATGTTCTACAAATAAATTAATTCAATCGTAATTATAGGATTCATCTAAAATGTAACAATAATATATACACCAGTTTATAATGAACATAAATCAACTACTATGACTTGAAATTTTATTAATTTCGTTGAAATTCATAGGGTCTAACTATCTAATATACATTTTTACTTTAAAAATACTACTAATCTAACAAAACAGATTCTACATAATAATCAGTCTAATAACAATAAATTCACTTTTAACATATCGAATATTTAGTCAATGCATGAGATCAAACTACTTATAACACTTCTTTATCAACTTCAAGTTCTTAAAGTTTGCAATTTTTTATAAATTACATGCGGTATGACATTTTAATACGTATGTGTTTATAACCAGTTGATGAGTAGCCACGAAATATAATGAATTCATATTGTTTTGCTTCAATTGTTGCATTAGCTTTATTCAAATTTTTATAGACCTACACATATTCACAGAGTAAAACGACTGGTTTTTCGTAGTAATTTTGAATACCTAAGTATTCAAATAAGTAATATATATATATATATATATATATATATATATATATATTCGTATGTAAACGGTTTACTCACCGTGCTATAACATTTTGTAACTGCTAATTTTATATATTTAATTCTCAGTTAATATAAAATCTCCGATTTGTTGACGTAAATTACCTTAGTGGTCTAGAGGTTAGGCGTTCGGGCGAGACTGATAGGTCCTGGATCTGGATCTCTCAGGAAGGGATCGAGGATGCGCATTGCTGAGGAGACCCACAATAGGGCAAGATGGCCATTCAGTGCTTCCAGGTTTTCCATAGTGATCTAGCTTCAATTGAATCATGATCTCAACTATTAAAGTTAAATTAAAATTGCCAGCTAATTCCGCTTTACTAATTAATAGTAATTATTGTAAGGATTTAGAAGGCAACTGACTAAAGTCTTGTGATGGTTGGTACTTACGTATGATTATGAAAGTAATGATCTTCTCAGATTGATTCAAATTGTCACAGTCAAATATATCAATACATAACTATTGAAGCCGTGATAAAACTTCAGTTGAACTAAAATATTTACACAGTTTGATTTCGGAGTAATAATGAAGTCGATCAAGTCGCCTTATGATCACCACTTGATCGATCATTTTGATGATTATTGATCAGTACAAAAAACATATCATTTACTCCTGAGATTAAAACCAGTGTGCAAATTTGGTAAACATTTAAATAAAATGATCAACTACTTTTGTAAATGTGGATTAAAATGTCTAAAAGTACACTCACAAATAATCTAATGTCAATAAATTTAAATTAAGTCATGAAAAAAGTTATCTTATGAATATATTGCATAAATAAACTTTTTGATGTAAATAGACATTAAGAAGTTGATTATTTATTCTGATTATGTTAACACATATGAATATAAAAATATTAATGGTGATTAGTTCATGTTATAATTGTCAACGATTGTGTAATCGTTAATATCCAATCCTAATACATAGTGATGAAAAAGCACTTTAGTTACAAAATAATATAGTATGGCTAAATTATGTATTTCGTATGATGCTCATACTTTATACAAACTTATTATTATATTGAAAAATATGAAAACTAGAAAAAAACAAAGCGTACCACTAAGGGGTCCTAGACTGGAACGAAATGGTCTTACATTGCTTCTAGGTTTTTGATGATGATCTAGCTTAGATCAACTCGTGAATTCAACTGTTAAAACACTGAAATCTTAACGAATCCCTATGGTGAGAAACAATCATGGTAATAAATTATAATGTTTTTTTATATATTGAAATGCTCAGTGAAGATGGAATTTGAAGTATCAAATTATTTATCCAGCGAGATGATGATAGTTGGTATAAACTTGTACTTATAACATCTAATATTAACATTCCATTTAGTTTATTAGTGGAAACAAAGAAATCTCTGTATCTATTGAAAATGTATTAATTAACAATTTATAGGGAGATTTTAATTGAGCAAACTAGGATAAAATGTCATCTGACGTTTCACCATTATGCATGAAATTTTAGGTAATGAACATGCGTTCCACCTTCAATTACATAATACACTTTGATGTTAACACTTAGTGTATATTACATTACAGAAACTGTTGATTGTTACATTTGTTACAAGTTTGTGGCTAAGTGTTTCAATGGATTCTTTTGACCAAATCTACCTACATTAATATCAAAAGCACAATAAATGATTGAATACTTTTACATTTTACATATCGTAGTTCACCATGATTTTTGTTTTTCCGTCCAATTAACTAAGAGGAAAAGGAAGACTGAACTTTAAAATTGATCATAAAATTGGAGTTACTGTTTATGTAATTAAGTTTTCAAAGATATATTCCTGAAGTTTTTAAATATACCCAATCACAACTAAACATTGTACACAATTAGATTCATTCACTTCTTATAAACAATAAGAAATTCACAAAACATTAGATTCTTAATTCAAACTGATTAACTGAAATAGTAGATGTTGAATATATTTTCGAAATTTAATAATAAATAATTATATAT